GAATTTTTTTGAAAAGGTATTGAAACCAAAGGTAGTGTAATATTGTTGTACTTGTGTTACCATCCCTCCTGTTGAGACATGAGTTACTCCATGGCTCAATATCGCCGCCCAGTTGTATAAGTTCCTAGGAATTATAGGTTCATCAGCTGGTCAGACATAGAGGTCACCTTTCAACTGTGCGCCATGACGTAACCAAACGTCTTTTTCAGTCTGGGGACTTTGTTGTTGCATGTCTTTAAGAATCGAATGGTCTAATACGTCGTGTGTTATTACTGCAAGAACATTGTGTTTCTCCGTAGCTGCTGCTTTAGCCATTCTGTCTGCAAAAGCGTTTCCTACAGACACCTCATCCGTTCCAGATGTATGTGCTGCACATTTGCAGATGGCTACTGTCTCTGGGAGCTATACGGCATCAAGCAGTTCAGTCAGAATTTTGGCATGTGTTACTGGCTTCCCTGTAGAGGTTATCATGCCTCACCCAAGTCCTACAGTAATTTGTTAGGCCTAAAAAGGACATCATTTGTTTCTTGGTCTGCGGTTTGGGTGCTTGGAGGACAGCTGCTTTTCTGTCCTCGAGAAGTGTCCTTCCCCCTGCACTCAGACTATGACCAAGATATTTCACTTCCCTTTTGCACAGCTGAAGTATATTTTTGCTCACTTTGTGGCTTTCTCTAGCCAAATGTTGCAGTAGTGCTACAGTGTCTTTCTTACAGGTTTCCTCATCAGGGGATGCTAACAGGACATCATCCACATGCTTGCCATGCTTGCGCTTATAACTTGTGAAGAAACAGTTGGACTTTCGGAAAAACCCTGGGGGAGCCTGCTATACGTATTTGTCCCCCAAAAGTGAATGCAAACCAGAATTGACTATCATTGTCCACTGGTACTGAGAAGAATGCATTACTAATGTCCACTACAGTAAAAACTTTGGCATCGGGTCTTAGAGTTCAATAGGGTATACGGATCAGGGACACAAGGTGCTCTCTGTATAACAGCATCATTTACAGCCTGCAAATCTTGCACCATGTGCCATCCCACAGAGGGGAGTGCTTTCTTCACCGGGAAGATGGGATTGTTACAAGAAGAGTCTTCACATTTAATTATTACTCCTGCTCTGAGTAAATCTTCTATTACTGGCTTTATTCCATCTTGTGCGTCCTGTTTTAGAGGATATTGTCTGATGCGGGGTCTATAATCTGATTTTGGTCTTATCTTTACAGGGATCGCTCCCTCTACTAGACCTACGTCACTAGGCCCTTTAGACCACACCTTCTCTGGGACATCTTGTAGCAGTTCTTACTCTTCCTGCGTTAACACCATTATTTCTCATTCATCTATAGAATGGAGGTGTATTCCTTCTTGGACCTGGGCTGACCAGAACAAAGCTTTCCTGGTCAGTCCCGTTTTAGCACTTGACCACGTATTAACAGATGTGGCCACCCAATCAGTAGCAATCTCTCCCTGCTGCACCATTTTTCCCAGATCTTTCCACTGTAGGTTTTTGCTTTTGTACAGGGAAACGTGTGGTGGCACCCACATTTTATACAGCTGCATGACTTTATTGGTCAGGGTTACTCCTGCGACTGATGTGCTGTCTGCATCGGAATACATGTAGTTTATGGTGATTTTGGCAGGAGTGGCCTGCTTTAACTTTTCCTCATATTCTCTGTCTGGGCCTGCTGCATGTCTGTACCACAGTGTGACATGCAAATTGTCAGCTGACATCTTGTCCTGTGTTTTAGATATTGCGTTTCTTCGCTCATTTAGTAGGGCAGTGGCCGTATTTCGTGGTGGCTTGTCTGGAATGTCGAGGGAATAGTAGTATCGCGGTTCTCCAATTTCTTGGAGAACACATATGTCTCCGTTCAATAGTTCAGCTTTTCTCTTTACTACTATTTGTCCCTCAGCTGATGGTATTAGCGCCAATCCTAGTCTAAGAAGGCCATCTCTTCCTAGCAGGTTGACTGGGCATTGTGGAAACAATAAAACGGACATCTGGCATGACAGACCCTCAGGATCCCTTAGCCATACGGGTTCAGATTCAGGTACTTCAGTTAGTTTACCACTGGCTGATCGTACCACAATTTGCTGACCATCAGGCCTAGAATTTGGTATTGGTTATTTGCAGGTAGTTCTGCATGCTCCAGAATCGCACAGGAAAGTCATAAGCTTTCCATTTACTGACAATGTCACTTCGGGTTTTACACTGTCCATTGCTAAAAGATCTTGGTAGTTTATCATGGCTTCTTTATCATTTGTTTCAGAAGGTTCGGCAGGCTCAGGGTTCGTGTTTAATTTATTTTTTGATTCTAGTCATGCGGAGGTATCCTTTTTCTCTGGACAAATTTGTGCAAAATGTCCCTCTTTTCCACAACTCAACATCCTCCCAGCCTACTTTTTTCATTTTCTTTGGGGTTTTTTTGTGTATTTTTTACTATCGCATCCTGCAATTCAAACCCGTAGTCAGTTATCTATTTCTCGAGGTGTTTTGTGCATTTAGGATCCAGTTTTTCAACATATTTCCAGTCTTTACATGCTAAGTTGTCTTTGCTTATGGTCTTACTGGCCCCTTTCCCCATTTTTCAATATTGGTCCAACGTTTTAACACCTAGGGTGTTCTACCGTTGGTTTTTCAATCAGTGGGACAGTAATGAACCTTCTGTCGTGGTAATTCTCACTTAAACTCTCACGAGTGGAGAATTCTTGCCTTTGCATCCACGTCAGTCTTACTGTTTACAACCCCACTGCTTTTATATGGAAGATCACTCCTAATGGAATGCTCTTTCCATGCATTCACACATTCACTCGTTTCCCCCTTTAATATATTATTATTATTATTATTTTTTTTTTTTTTTGCTACACGGAATTTTATAGGCGTGTAGTGTACTTAATATTAACTGTCTGGTTGTTTTTAATTTAATATTTCAAATACAGCCAAATGTTGTTTCTAGAGCAGCAACATTAATGTTTACAACAGCAAAGTAACTCAATAACTTTATCTGACATCACAAGTTGTGAGTGACATTTAGAAAGAACAACATCAGTCTGTATCAGTCCCTCCTCCTCTCTCGCTTCCTGCAGGTAACCTTACCAGGTAGAAGGAGGAGAGGCTGGTTTGTCTCAGCCAGCAGCTGAGTTTTTACTACAGACTACAGACCAGTCTGTGCTCCAGACAGACAGCTTTCTATTTAGCTTGTTTTTAACATTTGGCTAATGCCAAGCTAGCGTTAGCTGTGCTTGTATAAAACGTACAGGATGACATACTGAGGACAGAGATGATTAAATTAACCATTTCTACATGTTTACCGTTAACTTACAGACAGCTGTATTGATAAAGTATTGTCTTTTTACTTGCAAAGGTTTTATTGCACATACTTACAGTAACGAGCGTCGCTGTCATCAACTATCATTACAGTAGTTTGGATCTAACTTAACCCTCATTGTGTTCCACCGCGACGGCACAGCCTCTCGCTCTGCTGCCACTGTGTGTGCATGTGTGTGTGTCTGTGTGTGTGTGTATGTAGGAGCAGACAGAGAGCAGGCAGAGACTGCAGCCTCATGATTTTCTTATCCATTGCGTTGCAAAATAAAACTGAATTGACGCTCAAGACATATACGTTTCATCATAGGACCCGCAAGCCTCGATAGCAGTATTGACAAGCTCGAACCTTATGGATTTTTGGAACCGGTTCTCAATTCCCATCCCTAGCGATGAATGAACGAAGAGCGTTGATGAAGGCATCTGCTTTTAGTAGTAAAGTAACATTAATGGCCCACCTCCTCAGTTAGCTGACATTATGCAATGTTTACGGTAAACTTGCCAAACCAGCATTTTCAGATTTGGATAAGTAATATTAAAGTTACTTTAACAGAGTCTCTTATGTCACCAGAATAAGTGGCTCCACCTGGACTAAGGGACGGGGCTGAGCATTGAAGGGTTTGCGGCGGTGGTTGCGGTTGTCGTGTCAGTAAAGACATGACAAAGTAATATTAGTTATGTAGAGAAATTAACTGAATGACAGCCACTTCTGACTTTGTCTAGGCTCTCCAGCTGCATGTAATATAACCTGTGAGGCCCTGCTTACATTCCAGATTCAAGCCCTTTTTTGTTATTGCGTAGCAGATTACTTTTGTAACAACCCAAAGGTGCATTACAAGTCTCTGTAAACATATGTCAAATAGTACCAGTTCAGCAGTAATTTAACATAAGACCAAAATAATGAATATACAATAAGAGCTGACTGACTGATAAAGTGGTGTCCAGCAGCAAGATTAATATTGCACATATCAGTAAACTGTGTATTGCACATTGCCACAATTACTGTTACATGCCAGAGATGTTACCACGCTGAGGCGATCTCAGAGTTCAGTAGGTTTATGGCAGTTGGGAAGAGGCTGTCACTAACTTTTTACCATTGTTGTGTTTATAGGAGCCAGAGGAGCTGTTGGCAACATAATTCCAAATGAAAAGCACCAGAGTCCAGCTCTACAGAAGTCCCAGCTTCCAATGTGGCCCTGCCAGATCCTGCAGCTTACTGCTTTGTTCAGCCTTGTTTTTGTTTTACTTTAACACCTGGACTCTACTGATTTCAAATTACGACACTGGGTTCCTATACATAGGTCCTGTCATTATATTTACTGTTACAATACAGTTTTTTGGATTGCTTAAGCACGATTTTCAAAACAGGGCCCGTGTTTTCAAAACACTACACACAATTAGCACAACCACACACCCAAATAGCAAAACACTACAGATCCTTTGGATAATTAAACACTCCTGTAAAAACTATACACTTCTGTTTAAAAACCACACTTTGCTACCATATGAAACACACACGTTTCACATTACTATACTCTGTTTGCACGAGTTGCACTCGAACACGCTGTGATAAACCTAAAACAGTTTTAGCACTTCAACTTCCCTATGATTAGAGTAGGCTACCATCAACAAAGTACAAATATAATGTAAATTCACCAAACACTACACAAGACCAGTGTTGCAGACTGAAGAAACTCATTTATTTCTCAACACGCCCAAAATGTTGACATGGAGATTCATAATACTGTAACAAAATGTCACTTTACGGATTGTACTCTAAGTTTACTGTAAAAAAATAAATAAAAAATTGCTGGATCTGGCCAGAGAATTTCATCAACATCGCAGGCAATGTTGTCATTAGCAAGACACCTTGGAAAGAAACGTCTTGAATGACGAATCCATCCTTGCATTGCTGCTACCTCCATCTGGTCACAGGCCTCCTCCATGGCTTGGATGAGAGGTACCTCAGCCTGGAGACTGAGATCATATACCTTCCACCGCCATGCCGAGAAAAACTCTTCTATAGGGTTGAGGAATGGAGAGCATGGTGGAAGATATAGGACAGTGAAATGTGGATGTTGCTGAAACCAGTTCTGAACCAGAGCAGAGCGGTGGAAAGACACATTGTCCCAGACAACAATGTATTGGTATTGCATATGATCGATTTGACATGCTGCTGTTATGTTGTGCAATTGGTCCAAGAATGTAAGTATGAGTGCTGTGTTGTAAGGGCCCATATGGGCATGGCGGTGGAGGACCCCATTCTGTGTACGTTACCCTGGACATTGACTATAGCCCTGTGGCCAATGATGTTTCTTCCCCTCCTTCGTGTTCTCGTCAGGTTGAACATAGCCTCATCTACGTAAATGAACTCATGCTGGATCTCCTCTCCATCCATTCGTAAAACTCTCTGAAGAACAGTGTCAGGCAAAATTGTGTAGTTCAGTGTAGATCTAGTATACATATTACAGTACAGTAAAAGATTATGAGACAGTATGCAAGATCACACTGCTAAAGTGAATACATACCTCTGCATAATCATGCCGCAGTCGTTTCACCCTTTCGGAATTGCGCTCGAAAGGCACTCCATAAATTTGCTTTTTTTTTTAGGATGCGTGCCAGTGTTGATGTTGAGACCTGATGGATATCGTTGAAACTGGCGTGGTTATTGACAATGTTAGCTTGGAGCTGATTGAGTGTTATAGCATTGTTGGCCAAAACCATGTTTACTATCTCCCTCTCTTGCTGTTCTGTGAACATAGGAGGGCTTCCCCCTTGTCGTTCCTGACCCTAAATCCTATGTAGAAAAATAAAAACGGTATACAATAGTAGAGTAATTTCACCGTCAAAGGTAACAGAAGTGCTGATAGTGCATAGAATACAGTACTGTAAGCAGTTACTGAAACCGTGCAGATGTTTTTGATATGATGATATTTTTACAATACCTATTTTCCAGTTGAAATGTTCTTATCACACTTGCCACTGTGTATCGGCTTAGATTTGGCTGTACTCGCAGTCCAGCCTCCCTCAGCGTCAGGCCGTGGTTGACAACGTGGTCAACCAGTGTTGCGCGGATCTCATTTGTCAGATTCGGTCCTCTTTGAGCACCTTCTTGTCTTCCTCTTCCTCCCCTTCCTCCTCCTCCTTGTCCTCCTCCTCGTTCTCCTCCTTGTCTTACTCTTTCTCTGATTCTTTCCATTGTGCTTGAAGACCGATGAACTCACCTGCTGCTTTTTATAGTGCTTATACCCCTGATTGGTGTGTCTACAATGTGTCTACAAAAGCAAACAAGTGTTTCCACACCTGATGACTGTGTTGAACCAATTTGTTGGACGGTGCGGTAATTTGACAGTCAGTGCTTTGGTATTGCAAGGAAGTGACTTCATGATAGATTTTTGTGTGTAATGTATGTTAAGTGTGTTTAGTGTTTTGCAAATCACTGTGTGTAGAGTTTTGCAACAAGTGTGAGGTTGACAATGTGCTTATAGTTGTGCAAATATGGGCTGATGTTTTGCTTCTTGAGTGTAAGGTTTTAATGTGTTAAACTTTTGCTTTAGTATTATAAATATTTTTTGTTATATAAAATTACAAAATTTACTTAAAATAAAACAATGTTCTTCATTCATCAGTTTCTTATCTTAATTGACTATAGTATAATCTAACATTTGTAGAGATGTACCTATTTACCACAGGTGCATTCGACCCTGACACCTCAGAGTTTGCATCATCACAATTAATGATACCATCTAGTTGGATTCATTGTTACTCTGTGCAGGAACTGAAACTGAAACTGAAATCTAACATTTTCAGTCAGTAGTAAAGACATAATTGGCACCAGGTGGGACATCTGTACACAATGTGACTATGGAAGAAAAATTAATGAGTAATAATGGTTGCAGGTAGTTAATGTAAAATATAAAGTTAACTATAAAATATGTGTCAGCTTGGTTGACACTACTGTGATGTCATATATTTGAGAGAAAATTGATCAAGGGAGGAACACCTTGATATACAGATGACAATAACAATAGTTTTTGTGTTGTCCTTTGAAGACAGACAATGTAATATCAGCTGTCAAATGTCCAGCAGCCATCACAATAAATGCTGATTCATGGTAACGTTAATGTTAGTCTCCACATAGCCTAATCTAGGTGGTAAATTACCACATATATTTTAATTAAAAAACATTGAATTATTTTAAACCTTTTAAAGCCTCTGATATGAGAGTTTCTTTTTTACATGTGAAAGAAAAAACAACACACACAAAGCATGTTCGCCATCACCAAGCTGTACATGAAGGCAGAATAGGTGACTATTACAGTTATGTCAGCCTTTAAATAATAATAAAATTAATTAATAAAAATTTGAATGAGTAAGGTTTAAAAAACTGCACTAAAATTAAAACAATGAATGCAGTTTTTACAGTTTTTACCATATTTTTCTCTACCACCCCTAGACAACTCCAGTGTGAGTGGATGCATTTGCACATGTGTCATTGCCACAATACAGACTTGATGCATTATCTGTCTTCCTAAACAGTCATTCTAGAATCTCCTCACTGCATCATTCAATCTTAAAACTTTCACTAAAATCAATGAGAAAACATGTGTCATGCTGTCTCCAAATTCATACTTTTCTGTAAGGAGTTTGTATGCTCTTATCATGTATGCACAGATGTGCACATGATGAGTGAGGTATAAGAATTGCTAAGTATAGAGGATGGATAAACCCCTCAAGTTTTTATAGGCACATTGTGGCATGAGATTAACAATAGAACTAAAACTGTGAGGTTTTTTAAATATTTGTAACTAACTGGCAAATTTGCTTTTCTGCTACATTGCTGTACATGAAAACATCATAATCTAAATCAGCAATAATAATGGTAAATGAAAACATAATAATAAAGATAATGAAATAATAAATCTTCCCACCACACACAGATGCACATAGACGCAAGAAATATGTCTTGGTGTGTCGGTTTAGATTTAGTTGTTGGTGCTCTGTGTTTCTCTACTCGTCTTAGCAGAATTTCCAATCTTTCTCAAAGACATCACAAACCACAGGAAGATGAAGAAACCTAAGTTAAATGAGAGAAAGAGATAAGAAGTGTGTTAGAGACAGTACAGGAAGTATGGGGATCATGCTAATCATCCAAATGTCACTGATAAATAATCTAACTGTGGCAGGACACTGTTTATCAATATACAAATAGTACGGCCAATATACACTAAACATAAAAGTATGTATCTCATGCACCATTAAAGGATATACATGCATTAAACTAAGCGTTCGCGTACGCAAGATGACATTCTTATCCTACGTTATGTGTAATTTATGTAAGTGTAATTTATACTTCTGCGTTCAATTGACGGCGTAGGTGACGGCGTAAGCTACGTGGCTACGCAGAGGCTACGCCGTCGCCTGACGTGCACATCCTCGGAAATGTGGGAGGGATGATCCGGTCCTGGTCTGCCCCCTAGTGGATTCATTTAATCCTCCAGGTGCACGCAAAGTACGCAGGCAAGAATGTGACCAATGCCATTTGCGTCGCCGACGCCTGTCTACGCCTACGCATTGTTAAAAAGCAAATATATTCAGGGCTTTATGGTGGACAGTGGATTTCAATTTTTCACCCTGACATTTAAGTAATCACGTTAGTTTGCAACAGGAATACAAATCCTCAACATGTGTCATGGTTGAAAATCCAGATACTTTGGCCATTTATTGTGATACATGAAGCTATCCATGTGGCTGTAAAAATTTGTGTTTCTTTACACATTCACAGTGGGAGATTCCCAAGGTGGCTTGTATGGTCTGGCATGGACAAATCATTACACTTCCTGTTCTTACCCAAGTTAGAGAAGGTATAAACATATGGAGCAATGTAAAGATTTGATATGTTCAGCTTTCAGTGCACTATTCCACACCCATTTACCCATCCTGAACATCCCCTAATACATTTCTCCTCATCCATGTCAAACTGAGACAATCAACTTTGCAACGACCTCACCAAAATATTTATTTTATTTTTATTTTTTTTTTATTTTTATTTTTATTTTATTATTATTATTATTATTATTATTTATTATTATATATTATTATTATATATTTTATACCCTTCCTATGACCCATGGTTTGACTGTATGTGTATTCAGAGCCAGTGAGCAACGGACTTTCAAAATAATAAAAATAAAAACGGCATTAATGTGAGATAAAATATTTGTCGGCGTTAATTAATTAATACGTTAATGTGATAAAAATACGTTAACTGCAGCCCTAATTTATATATATGCCTTATACAACCCTTCCCGTCATATTTACAGTAACATCACTGCAGGATAGAGCTGAAAATGTGGAGGTTGTGCAGACCTTGCAGTGAGTTCAGGATGCAGAAGACGTAGAGGCCTGGAATGGTCAGGTAGCCAAATGAGAAGAAGACCAGGCCCCAGGTAATGCCAAGCAGAATGGTGACTCGCAGCAGGGTACAGATGTCCCGCTTGGCTCTGTCACTGTCACTCTGCCCAAACTGACTTGCAAAAGATGTAAAACGACACAGTAGCAGGTCATAGACAAGCACAACAGTTAGAAACAATGAAATGGAGTAGTCAGCACCAAAGACCAAAACACTGTAATCTTGAAAACAGCTCCTATCAAGACAAGAAAGCTCCTAAAAATGCAAGGAGGGTTTCACACCAAATCCAGCACCACTGTACACCAAGAGGAGCGAGGGAGGCACAGGATGAAAGATCCAGGAGTACATCAGGAAGATGGCCTCCAAAGATGAAGGGCTAAGTGAATACCTCAGGCAGAAGAAACCTGAGGATATTAACAAGGAGGAGGAAGAACCTTCATGGAGAGACAAGCCGCTGCATGGCATGTACCATGAACAGATATCAAGAAATCCTTCCAGCGGCTAGAAAAGGCTGGAGAGGACAGCACAGAAGCACAAATCCTGGTGGCACAACAACAAGCACTCAGTACAAGATTAATAGAGGCTGGAGTCTACCACACTACGCAGGACCCTAGGTGAAGACTGTGCAAGGATGCCCCTGCAGGCTGAAACAGCATCCATAACCAGGTACCTGACATAGTGTACAGGCACATTTGCCATGAGTATGGGCTGGAAGTCCCAAGGTCAAAAGGGAAGACACCTACTAAAATAGTAGAGAATGACCGAGCTAACATCCTGTGGGTGTTCAAGATCCAGACTGACAAACTAGTGATAGCTAACCAACTAGATATCTTGTTGATCAACAAACAGCAGCAGAAGAAGGCTGCAGTGATAGATGTGGCAATCCCAAGTGACTGCAACATCAAGAAGAATGTATATATATACTACATACACACACACACACACACACACACACACAGAATACAACCAGATATAAAGATCCATTTTAAAGACAAAAAAGAGTAGAATGCAAAGAGTGCAGATTGATCCGAACCTGTTTGCGCTGGCCAAGGCTCACCACGCGTCGGACCGTCACCCCTAACATGATGACGTTAAAGGCGAACACCAAGCAGAATACTCCCACTGTAGTCACCATCTTCACCATGTTATTGCCAATATAGCATCTATAAAGACAGTGGGTATAGATAAAGATTTAATCTCATACACTGCTACATCAAATATGAATTCTGTTATCAAAATGGAAATTCAGTTGACTAAAGATTCAGCTTTATACTTTAAGTATTGCGAGACTTAGTAGATATTCAGTGTATGAACTTAAGCCAATCAGATGCTTGGTGATGTGGGGTTTTCTGCCCATGAAATAGACTATATTTGAACATCCCAGCTATTCCTTCTTATAATTTATGATAACTGTCTGTGAGTGGGGTTTGTGTACCAGTTCCAAAAACTTTCAAATACATAGAAACTGCAGATGTGTTCCTGCTTCATCCTTACATTGCATTGCTGTTGGAGTTAGACAAGTCCAGAAAGACACGTCCATATGTGCCTCTGTCTATGATCACCACCAGGGACACGATGACTGCAGGGATACCTGGAACACAAGGATTTATCAAATATCTGAACCTTTAACTTAAAGGGTTCAATTACTCCAAAGTTTGATGACTGATGCTAGCAACTTGTAGTTCCATGGCCATGGCGACTCTACTCACCCCATCCCACCAAGCTGAGTTTGAGCAAGTATCTCCTGACATAGATGTTGAAGACTCTGACAAGGAGAAGGTAGATGTGGAACCCTTCCAGGGCCATCCAGCTGAAAGTGGCCAGCAGGGAATAGTGAAGAGCAAGGGCCATGTAAACGCAAAGCCCAGAGGAGGACTGTGCTGCCACCGACTGACTTGGGAGGAAGTGCAGGTTGAGGAGAATCAGGGCAATGGTGAGGTTGATGTGGACCCTCATAGAGACATCTGCTCTGATCTTTCTGTCAGACAGAGGAGAACTGATCTGTGGTGAATGTTAAATTATGTGCAGATTTCTTGGTTATGTCATGGTGGCAATGAAATTAGGACATGTAAAGGGAAGGAAGAAGGGAAAGATGAATGAGAGAAATATACTGTACAAAGGAGAAAGCAAATATGTTAATAAAGAAGGGAGAGCACATTACATTATAAAGAGATGAGAATAAAACAAAACAGGCAACAAACCCACAAAGACATGAAGCATGGCAAGAAAAAGTTAAAAAAGGGAGGAAGTGGAGAGCTGAGTTGCTGAAGAAGTGATGGGAGCAAGGACCAAGGGATGTTGAAAATACGTGAGGGAAGAGGAGAGATTGAATGTAAGCAGGGATGCCGGACATGAGAAGATGAGAAGAGAGCCATTACCACCAGTCCACCAGGGACGAATAAATGACCTGTTCGTGATGAAGAGCAGAACAGTGATGACCAGGGCAAAAAGAGAAAGACTACAGCCAATCTGAGTGATGAGTGTCAGAATCTTCAGGTCAGTAGGAGGGAGGATAGCATCTACCTGTGGAGAAGGTACAAAGATTACATTTTACAGGAAATGCTGTGGTTTTACCTCATTATATTTATTTGCTACACTAGATACTGTATAATTACTGGTGAAGCAGATTAGGATTTACAAAATATACACGTATGAACAATTAGGGTGCATAGTTAATTAAACTTACCATATTCATATAATGTAGTTTAAATTTAGCTCCACTCTTCACAACTTCAGTGCTGATAATCTTTTGTTAATTAACCAGTATGTGAATGCATCAATTATAATAATCAAATACAAATGATCATACACCCTTGTGCACCCTTGTGCATAATGACTATTATATAAGTATATATGATATTTATGTAATTGTATTTGTATATTTACATTACTACTTTGTGAGTGTAAGATTAATAAATCTACTCAGACTAGTAGTTTGCTGTTTATTTAAATTAAAATTTTTAACAGAAGACGTTTTGTCACAGCACAAAAAGCACAGGTGTAAAAAACAAAACAACAAAACAAATGTCTGAATTCCATTATGCTTCAGTTTCAGGGTCCAGGTATGGTGGATGCTGGTTCACTATTACACTGTCATGGCTCACTGGGACACCTGAAGCCATCATTAAAGTAAGCTTTAAATGTTGTGCTTTTCCACACTTTGACTTTAACAAAAGTCTACTGTGAATTGTAAAATATTTGTACTGTATTTTATGATAAACGTATGCTATTCAATTTTTTTTATATTTTTTATTTATATTTTTTCAAATGCTCTTCTACTGAATATTCATTTTCAATAAACTTATCACTTTCTTGTTGTTATTGTCTCTCTATAATTCAATATACATTTACCAGGAGCACACCAAAGTATGTGAGGTGGTCACAGGAGCAGGTGATTTGACTTTCATCACGTTCCCAAAGGGTAAGACAGCCATTCCTGCTGAAGTCTGGTAAGTCAAACAAACAGACGTACAGACAGACAGATCCATTACACTAATTATTGTGTCGATTTTTAATTACATCAACTCACTGTTGAACCCAACTAATCATCTTAAAGACATAGTGACAGATGTGATGACTAGTTACTCACCACTTGTTGTAAAATTGAAGAACTCACAAGTGGGTTTTTGGGTCTCCTGCCACACAACAATGTAGCAGGATTAAATTAGGTTTATATGATATGTATTATGATTTTACCTGAGTTTTGTCGGGTAAATAATACAAGTTTAAAGTAGTGGTAAATGATTTGTGGAATAAAGATGTAGTTACATTTATGCCCATAGTAAGAGTCATGGTGATGTTGACGCGCTCCTGTAGTCCTGTAATGTTCTTGCCGCGCACACTCAGTCCAACCAGTCTGCCCTCATACAGATCTGAGGCTCCCCATGTGGTCTACAGTACAACATACAGTCAATCAAGTAACTTTACATTGTTTAAAGAAGAAAGCCACCCAGAGATCCTGTTACACTGTTTAATGTTATCAGTTATTTACATTTCTGTCCTTCTTGAGAACTGTTATAAACTTTGTATGTTACCCCAGAAAGCAATGGGGAAGAGCTCTTCTAATTGAGAAGAGCTGTTGTTCCTAAAAACCTGTCTTGCTGCACCAACTACATTTGAGGATATTGTATTTAGTCAGAAATGGAAATCTCTTCCTCTTTTGTGAAAGAGTTCTGCATGTGTGACTGCTGAACATTTGAACAAACTTCACTTTTTGACAGTGAGGCACTAAAAACTTAGCTTGACACTGTCCTCCAGTGGTTAACACGAGTAACTGCAGGTCATTTGGAGGAGGAACCATGTGGTCATTCGAAGATCAACGATCTTCAACATATTAAGTACCAACAATCACGTGCCAGGTATGAAGCCTGATTTGAGGTATTTCAAAGTGTTCCTCTTTTTACTAAGCACACACTAGGCACACCTACTCCATTTACTAAATAATGCAGCCATTAGAGAGAAGCTTTATTCTGATAACAAAATGATTCATAAAAGTGCAATAGGGTGGATTTCTCCTTTAACCACAAAAAACAAAGGATGGGAATTTAAAGTTAAAATGTAATGGCAAAACTGCTAAAATGCAAATAAACCTGTTCCTGCTCAAAACTGAAATAACATGACACCATTCAAATGTTACTGACAAAACACAAGGACATGTTCACTGTGAAATACCCGCTGTCTCTGTTGATATTAACAGTAACGCTGAAATTAAGAGAAACCAATGGCTGCCCAGAATGCAGGAAATAATTGTATAAATATTTTTTTTATATTAAAATAATAATAAATAATTTGTTGTGTTTTGTGATAACACAAAATCTGATTACTTGAATTGTACAGTATATAAAAGTTATATTCTAGTGGTCAGGCGCATATCTAGAACATTTTGAATAGGAGGTCAGATGGCAATAAAGGCTCAGAACAGAGTCTCTTTAATCAAGCTAGTGAATAATGTTGTTTCATAACTAATAAAAACTAAACTAAATAAAACTAACAAAAAAATAAGACCAAGGCTGGGCCTGCTAAAATAAATGGTGTAAAAATGCAAAATCAAGAATGGTCATTTAGTTGTGTAATATATATATATATTAGGGTTTGAAATCACAGGGTACCTCACAATATCATACGATACGATACAATACACGGCTCATTATAAAGATAATATCACGTTACAGAAATTCTGCGATAATTGATATATCGCTAGACAATGCTAAAATGTCTAATTATGTATACAAAATGCCCGTGAAAAAGTTTTCTGTATTTATTTGCTGCAAATCCAAACTGTTAGAAAATAGTACAATTCTGCAGGACACATTTTTCAGTTTGTAAATTAAAATGACAGAAAAAAAAAATATATATATATATAATAAAAATGTCTTTATAAAAGGCACATAAAAATGCTAATTGACTGAAATGGCTGACTTTACTTAATTTGTTTTTTGAGTTTTGAGTTTTGACCCTTTGGGTTGCTGTAGCTAGTCGGTGTGGAGTGCTGAAGCAGCAGAGTAGGGGCTACAGTAGGTCTCTCAGGATGTTAAGCATGTGAAGCAAAAATCATTATTATTATTATTATTACATAAATTTTACATAAAAAAGTATAGTCTCTGACCCAATTGGTTTCAGGTGAAGTAATCATGCAGAACACAATCGTGTTGTTCCATCCAACATTCAACTCTCCCGGCAGTTGAACGCTCACTGTGCTGTTGGTGAAAGTCTTGTCTAACATTGCCTATATCAGAGGAACAGAGCCAAATACAGCAAGAGAAGTGTTACATGTAAATAATACCTGCAACAGAATAATGCAATCCTCTCAGCTAGATTTCTATCTAACATCAACAACAGTGAAATAATTTACATTTGCAAACAAGGCTGACTGAACACAGGTTAATGTTTATTCAGAAGGCCTGAGCTGGAACATTCTGCTTGCTAAAATAACTTTGAGATCAGTCGCTACCAATCTGGAGTAATGTTCTGCAGCTGACACTGACGTTCCTGTGGAGGGTCAAAGCAGAGAAGAGCATTTTTCCTTTGAGGGATCTAGTAATTACCATTAAAAAAACACACATAATGTAATGCCATCCCTTTGGATGGGTAAACATACTCAACACTATAAAAAACTAACTGGTGAAGAGTTCTTGTAGGTAGTGTTGCCCTGGCAGCCGGCATTTTACTACAAATTCCTCATAGGCATGCAGAATGGATAAACATTTAAATGCATTAATTTGTTGCAAAGAATTATCTGGGAAGCATGAATGTCTGTACAAAATGTCACAGGAACCCATGCAGTAATTATCTGGACCAAATGGTGGGCATTGCAGACATTGCCATCCCTAGCACCAAGTTGCTAGTAAGGCTAAAAATATACCAGTAAGTTACAGATGTCATTGTAATTCTGACTATAAGCTCTAATCAAGATTAAATATATCCATACCTTACTCTTACTAGCGTGTATAACGAGGCTTGTGAAGGGTCTTTGGGGTTTGTGCAGGAGGGCCACCAAATGGCTGGCAGAAATGAAGGTAGTCTCATTCACCTCTGTTTCCTCTAGAACTTGTTCTAGGCACTTCACAGCTCTTATCGAAAAGGAACATTTATAACATACGTCATACTGATTAACATGGTTTTCCTTAAAACCTACAGTATCATTAATTGGGGACCACAGAATGCCTTAACCATAAATCTGATTTCAGCCTCATCCCTCTACAAACGTACAAATGTAAAAATCTCATCTTTCATATCTGGAATTACTTATAAACAAGCACGCAGAAACATAAAAAACAATATTTTTGATATAGAATTAATGTTTACCCTTTAGTGTATCCTCCATGATCAACCAACATTTTGTCTACTTGCTCCATATAATGGAGGGCATCTGAAACTGAAACAGTAGTGTAATAACAAATTATTTATTAATATTCAAAATAAGGAAATAGAATATTTCCAAAAAAAACATACATGAAAAAATATTTTACACTTTATGTCATGATTCTGACACTGACTTGACTTTGTTTGGTTTATTTTACAGGTGATGTTCTGAGACTCCAAATACCGGACCAGCCAAAAGAGGAGCCCCCATTTCATCCTGTGAAGTGAAGATTAAAAAAGAAAGTATGCTATGCATAAACATACAGACAAACGCTATAGCCCAACCACATTTATTGATCTTAACTGGTACTACAACAGCTAGTATGTTTACATATACACTTAGGTTAAATAATCAATAGACATTCCTCAGGCCTCAGCATCACTATAGATAACAAAATTAGGTGTTTCTGCCCTAAAGATAATCAAAACATAGCCAACCTTATCATGTTTCCTGAGTCCCGGTAGAGATAAATTTGTCCGAAGAGAATACAGCTGATGTGACACCAGGTTGAAAGCAAGTGAGGAAGCTGCTGAAAACAAGGAGCTTCATAGGAAGTTGAAAAAACCCCACAAAAAAACCCCCATGTAAATGACACTGTGAGATAAAAAGAGGAAGCAGCACCGGCCAGAAAGCTAACACTAACTGTATCTACTGTATCTATACTGTAAATATTATACTCAGTGGACACTACACATAATTACTAGATACACATTCAGCACTAAATCATGGTTTTATTTAGAAACTAGTTTTAACTGAACTGAATTTCATAGCAGTTAATTGGTCGATATACTGACCATCACAGGGTACATGGCTGCACGTCACTACTCCACCAACAGAGGGGAGTAGCGCATCAAAAAAACAAGTGAAAGGGATTTGCATATGTTATGTTTGTATGCTGTTATAACAAGGATGCAAGTTAAAACCAAAGGCTGAAAGAATAAGTAATAGCAAAAAAATTTGTCTCTAACAGGCGAATTGAACTGCATCGCTCCTTCTAGCTAGACCAACAAATTGAAAACCAGGATTTGGATGAATCATGCTCTACTTACTCCCATGATAACACTTTATTGTGACATTCAATGAAACAAATAAAGAAAATGATCTCCCAACCATGTGCTTTAGATTTATTTATTTATTTTTCTATTTATTTCCGTTGTCTATGGAATCATAAAATGTTTTAACATAATATTAAATGAGCCCTGCGATGGACTGGCGACCTGTCCAGGTTGTACCCCGCCTTTCGCCCAATGCCAGCTGGGATTGGCTCCAGCCAATGCCTCTCTTAAGATACAGCTAATAAGGCAAGCCATTTTAACATTTGTTCTTTAAAACTTACTAGTCGCTGTTTAAAAGCTACTAGTATTTATTAGTTACTAGCAACTATTCCCGTTTTAATAGTAACAGTTGATTAGATTCTAGTATTTTTTTTACCTACTTCTAGTAATTTTTCGTTTATATTTATGTATTTATTTCACAATTATTTATTTATTTTATATTGAACACTTTGGCGGTCTAAAGCTGTCAGAGCCACTGACCTGAAGAAGTGATGGTGATGGTGTTTGTTGGTAGTATAGTCACAGGAAGCTGAATTCAAGCAACCTGTTTGATTCCATGACAGACCTATATGTGTTTATGGACACAGCTGTAGCTTGTGATGCTGTGCATGCATTCCATGGCTGTGCCTGTGTTTTATCCATCAGAAAGTTTACTGGCTGGGCATGCAGGTGGCCTTCCTGCCAGGTGGCCAGCACCGCATAGAGGCAGTTCTCACTCATGCACATGTTTACACCAATTTAAACATAACACAAAAGTGATGACAATTAGACAATTTGTTACATTGTGCTACTTCTACATCTAAAAAACAGGAATAAATATAATAAAAACATCAAATTGGACCAACACCGAGTGCCTAATTTCATGTGACCTCTATTTAAGACTTTCCTCACAGTGCTAATGGAGGAAAGGGGGCAAGAGAGTACATAAGAAAGAAGACATAAGGTGTGATATGGATGAGTACTTTTGGCCAAATGCAGAAAACAAAGATTAATCACATTAAAAACACAAGATGGCGCCAGCGCCTTAAAGACGTCAGATATCATTCCATATGTTCAGACTTTCATTCAATATTTTCAAGGTTCATTCAATATATTCACACACACACACACACACACACACACACCATAATGATATCTTTTCAGTCATTTTAACTATCAGTGAATCTAATAACAAACACTGCATGATACATGTTTCAAATCACCTTAGAAGTGCTGAAAGTAGCGTGCTACAGTATACTGTAAAAAACAGATTACGCTGTTTTCACATAAGGCAATACGCTTGCATTATCCAACCTTTACAGAATCTATCATTTCCATAATATGTATCATATATGTAATCAAGTTGTGATCAATGAAGACATCTCCAATCACTTATGCAAGAAATAAATGTTTACTGTACTGTACTGTATTTTACAGTATTGCAACATATAGGTTTGTCTAAATGTAACAAATACTATAACAATAATTATGGATGGTAATCATGTAGCGTATTCACAGCATTCTATTGAACAAACTGTAATCATTGCAGTGGTCCTCTGTGGCTCTGTTTGTTACAGTACTAAGCTACTTGCACTAAGGTTGCCTTAGCGTGGTGAATCTGAATCAGGCACAAGAAACAATAATACATACATGTATAATAAGCAAATGTTTCAGTGATGATCAATTAGGAACAATGAGCATAGTGATAGTAAAAGTTATTTTAACAATAGAGAAGAAAATTGTATCCAAAGTTATGCATGTACTTTGTATGAACTTAATCTATGTCAATGCGCAACATGTCTTTCTACATGTTTTTGTTGTACTCTGTCAATGTCAGATGTTATATGAAAAAAGGTCCTTTTTGATTATCTGCTATGTTTTTGTACTGGGAGTGGTGAAATATTACCACAGAGTTTTGTCAATAGTACCATAGCAACAGAAAAAAAAATGTCAATTAGTAATAGTTTAGTTTAGAAAAATAAAGCCATATTGCAACACTTCTGGTTCATATCTGTGACATCTACTTTTAATTAGCATAAGCCATGCCAAGAAAAATGCCAAGTTACTTCACAGACAACACTAAAAAAAATAATAAAAAAAGTTTAAGGTCATTGTGTTACGTTTTTTTATTGGAAGACAAATGTGTTCACTAACTAAGGAAAACAATGAGTACAGTATTAAAACTCTGATCAGGATGTTGTTTGTTTGCGGGGGATTCCCCTGTGTATAGAAGGGTAATGCCAAAACAGCTGAGATCACTGGTGTGGGGGCAGGGTTGATTGACGTTAGCCTCTGGGGTTTGATCCTACCTGTGACAAACCATCAGACTCCTCACCTGGATAAAAAGAGGCCAGTGAAGCAGAATGACTCACACACAGCAGGTGTTGATCCTTATTGTGACTAACTAAACCCTGGGTGATCAAACCACACTCTCTATTTGTATTTCATGTTATATACTAAGGGATGGGGATTTCCAAAGGTGTCTCTTACTCTTACTTTTAGCTACATGTTTGCTGATCTAGTGCTGCTTTTCGCCTCGCATTTCAAGCCTTGTTTTTTCATTTGTACACACTTACACATAGGTGTTATTTACACTGGGGACGCTGGGGACATGTCCCCATTACTTTCTGAAAGCATTTGTTAAAAATGTTCTGAAAATACCTTGCACTGAAAACATGTAAACTGACAAATGAAAATGCTTTGAGAAAAGTAACTTAAACTAAAAAAAGCCAGCAGCTGATTACTGCATTGTATTCCGTTATAATTTTACATTTATGAATTGTCACCTGCCAGCTGACTTTTTTGTATTGTTTCCTTTTCCACTATAAATTGGAGCAGAGATTGTCCCCAGAATGCAGGAAATTAAGTGTTTAATGCTCCAATTTTCTGGGATAGGACCCCAGACCTCCAACTCATATATTTCAGAATTTCCTATTTCTTCCTATTAATGTTAAAAATCTTCTCGTCTTGTTCTCGTGCATCGTCACGTCTCGTGATCCAAGTATCATCACACCCCTAATCTGAGCCCTAATGTCCCCACCACCCAACACAAAGTGATGCTACTGCACTTACATCTGAAACACTAGCTGAGAAACATTAGAATTTACTACACGCACTGAGATTAAAATATTGAGGAGGAGCACTTTAGGGAGCTTTACCAGTGACTATTGTGTGTGTTCAGCAGACTATGGCACCTCATTCCCTGTAATGACCTCAGGCCACAAAGATCAGTGAATGGTTTGGGCATACTGCTCTGTAATACTGAGCAACAGTAAGTGCATCAATGGTGAACTGTCAAAAAATCTGTCCTGGGCCTGATGGCTTAAGACCATATGGACCCTGAGGTCCCCATGCTGAGGGGGTTTGAATGCATGACACATGCAATACCAACATATGCCTCTTTAAACCTTTTTTGTGAGTCCTCAATGAATAACAAATGCCCAAACATGAATTACAGAAATGTATATTGATTATTTAATAGCTGTTACGAGTCCACTGGTTACATAGACACCCCACAAACTCCATCACACGGACGAAGCAAATGACAAGGACTGCCTGAGAAACTAAGATTTTTCTAAACTAAACCAGGCTACCTTATTTCTGATTTCCAAGTGATGTAAATATACATGCAGTTAATGGCGCAGTTGCTTATTATTGCTTACAAACATGACAACAGACATAGAATAGATGCCATTGCAAACATGAAACGCAACCTCCTTGTGTGTTGTATATTAGTGCAAATGTCTGTGTGCCCCAAGGGAAGTTACAACATTACAACATTCCCATATGGTTAATGATTTATGAGTTTATATCAGTTTATCAAACATGGTTGTTTTCAATCTCATATCTTATCAGTACTTTCCTGTTATATTCAGATTATGTGAGCGCGCGCGCGCGCGTGTGTGTGTGTGTGTGTGTGTGTGATGTGGTCTATCACCTCGGTGTGGTGGAGCTATAAACACATGGGGGGGAGGGTCATACTTGCTGGCTTCTACCTCGGGCCTGTTCTCTGCACCCTCCCCTCTTCCACCTCCATCCGTCCGGTTGATAAGAGCATTGTGGTGGTCAGTTAAAGTCAGCCACACAAAGCCAAGACATTGCCGGATATGGGGTGCCATCAAAATAAAAGACAAAGTAATCACATCTGAGAGGAAACCTTTTTTTAAAAATTACTTTGAACTGTCGATTTAAAACAAAGACATGCCGTTTGCAGTTAACAGCAAAGGGATAATGTACATTATATGTGTAAAATGGTTTGATCAAATAAGCAATAATGTTTTCCATGAGCACCCATAAACATTTTAAGCTTTTTAATTGTTAATATTTGCTGTAACATGGACAATATTTGCGAAGAAGATAAGTCAGACTTTTGATGGGTGAAAATCTCTCATGGGAGAAGTCTGCCCTTGAGGCTTTCTACTTGGTTAGGTTTAGGCACCAAAACTAGCTTTCTGTGGCAGAAAGCCATTAAAGCAAACTTGTGTGTGAGAAAACAACCTTTTCTGTAGTAGTTTAACATATGTCTCTTTACGTCTAGGCTATTTTCATTATCTCCACAGCCGTATATGTTTACAACAAGTTTATTTTGAAAGTCAGGACAGGAAGACATCGTTCCCGCGCTGTCAAACTTGACGCTGGCATCTTCACGTTAGGTGCCGAAACACCACGAACAGCGGACCACTGTCCGTCCTGCTCCTGTAGGGAGACAACAGAGCCACTCACTTAGGACAAGACTAATAGCAACTAGTTAGGGACCGGTTTCAGAGAAGATTTCCCCTGGGAAAAGGGAAAACTGGATATAGAGGGCAGACAAACCGTCAAATAAAATGTTTACAAATGAGGTCGCGATCTTAAACAGCCGTGTTCCACACGACATTGCCGGGCGCTAAATTACTGCTGAAGGAGTCGGTCAAGTGCGGTGAACTTTGGGCTTATTATTTGGTTCTTGTTTTATAGTTTGCAACTTTCTCAGGGTACCTTCATTTGGCATTATCACGAGAGGATGTTATTTGCCCGGTCGGTGGTGAACATGTTGGCAGCAACTAATGTACTGAAGCATTTCTGCGGGATCCCCGCTCTGCTGATAGTTACTTAGACATTGCTGGAGAGGCGGCGGCGCTTCGGTAAAGTGCACTTTCAAGGTTAGCTACTATTTAGGCAACGACTTTGATGTTAAGTAAACGAGACGCGCGCTCTCGTGGGTAACTCCCGCTAGAGATAACGAGGCTGAGTAACTGTCAACGGCGTAAAACTGTAAAACATCAAGGAGAAAGCTCACGGGCTCGCTTATGAGCGAAGACAACTCACCGACATTCATGGAGAGTTAGACTGTAACGCTGTTGTAGCGTTCTTGCTGGGGAATAGTTTACTGCAGTCTTAGTTTTACCGCATAAACTAGCAATACTGCGAGTCACAGACATCGCATTACACCGTCGAGACTGAACCACGACGGACGAAGAGTTCAGCCGGACCAGGACCATGGCCTCCACCTCACGGGACAGCTGCCTCTGGTTGCTCTGGAGACGAACCTTCCTCGCGCTGTCCGTGTGTGCGCTTGGGGCGCGTGGAGTGGAGGATGACGGCACCTTCAACGCAGAGGTAACGCAGCAGCAGCGCTAATATTACTGATAAGAAAGAGCGAAATAATGCTCGTTATATACTAGCTGCGGTGAAACCAGAAGCAGCAGAGGTTAGAGACGACGTGACGATATTTACAAAAACAGTTTTAGCACTGCACCCTTCAGACTAGAAGACACGGTGTCAAGCAGCGGTTTGCTTCCACAAAAAGCTGGGATTCACTATTACATCAGAAAGAGTACAATTTGACATGCTCGTTGCTCAAGGCAAATAGATTCAAATATCCATATAACCGTGCTATTCAAATGGTATTTCTCTGGTAAGCAATGTAATGTAACACTTCTTTATATAGGCTAGCCCATAGTTCTTTAATTCTTTGTATATAGTTTATATAGCCTATGCTTATTCAATGGTTATTTTTGTGTGCCTAATGGTAATGGTTTCAAACAGGACCCAGCCAATTAGAATCGATGCAGGACTACCCAGTGCACAGCATCTGGTTTATGTTGCAAATATTAATTACATTATTATTATAATATCCCTTACCACACTCTTATGTCCCAGTCCTGAATGGTCAGATAAACACAAAAGCAAAGATATTGTTCCCCATGGGCGCTTGCACTGATTGTCACTGTTTAGTGAATTATTTGGGATCTGACTGATTCTTTCAGTAACCTCCAGCAAGATATCCAGTGGGGTCTGTCATCATGTGGCTAGTTAGGCTATTGTTCGTAATGCTCCTAAGGTCTTTAGACCCCTAAGTGTAAGGTTGGAACGTGAGCGAGCTTGTCTTGCTTGCTTGTTAAACCTATCCAGCAGTCATCCAGCACACTTGTTTGTTTTGAGAGGCAATTTAAGGGATAAGAGCGGATTTTAACATATAAGAAGGTGATTAGTGGTGCAGCACGTGTTGTTTGACAAGACAGACAGACAGAGATTCCACCAGGTCATTAGAGGTGAGCTTGCATTACCAAACTCAGTGACCAGGGGGTCTGGGTGTCAGTCAGGTTACAATATATTCTGATGGGGTATTAGCATAGCTGTGGTGTGTGTGTGTGTGTGTGTGTGCGTGCACGCTAATGTGTTACTAAGACAAGAGATGGCAGGTTTACACAATCTGTGGACCATAGGTGTGGACTGATGAGAAATTCCTAAGCACTTGTTACTAAATGTGTTTATGTGTGTGTGTGTTAGTTGAAATAGTTTAACAATTGTGTTACCCATGTTTGTGTGCTCTTACAAGTGGAGGCTTGTATCTGTTAGATTTAAGCACAACTACAAGTGTTACTCGAGGTAGGGGTAGGGCTGTGCAATAAAACAATAATGATGATTATTGCAATATAATGTTCCTCAATAACAGTATAACAAATGTTCAATAAATGTTTGATTTAATTCATTTTAATCACAAAAAATAGGGAATTTGTCTACTAAGGTATTTATTTTGTTGACAAAAAATGACTTTAAAAAGATTTTAGAGTGTTGTACTTCAGATTTGTTAAGTGATCCAGTTTTTGGCATCAAGTGTTTGTCATGTTTTTCGCTTAGGAGCCTTTAAACGTGAATAAATTATGATTTTAAATTTATCATGATAATTATTGATATTGATTGAACCAAAAACTTTTATCCTGATAACATTTGTGGCCATATCGCCCAGCCCTAACTTGAGGCCTTAAAGAAGTCATGCTGTTTGCTGTTTGTTTCCTTAAGGGTCTGTGAACCTCCACAGTCTGCACACTAATCTTTGTGATAGGGTAGACTCTGCTTTTATGAAGTCACTGATGACCATACTTTGTCTCTGTGGCTGATGAATGCTTCTCTGTAGAACAAGAGCTATACTAGAGTTTATATAACTTTTAATGTGTGAGCAGACAAAAGGCTGGAATATATACAGTATAAAATAAAGGACAGGTAAGTGAGGAGGACTTGATAATCAACATATATAATTACACAACATGTACTTTGTCTGGTTTGTTCCAAAGCGTGTAACTCTAAAGCAAACCCAGATTATGTTGGATTGTGTTGATACAACATTATACACCTACTCTGCCATTTATTCACATACTGAAGTACATCATCTAAACTTCAATGCGCACAGAGATGAACAGAGAAAGTTGACAGCAGCAGTCAGTCTCAGCTGTGCGGCATGTGATGGCTGAATGTGACAGCTGTTCTCTAACTGAGACACACACCCACACACACAGTGCACATGCATGCTGGGCCTGGAACTCCAAGACATCTTAGGAAGTACAATAGACCCTCTTGTCTGAAGAGAGAGAGCTCTGAGAGGGAATGTGTGAATTGGAGAGAAAGAGGATGACAGAGCACAGAAAGCAACATGAACATGATGAGACAGAATGAAAAAAGCGTGCAGCAGCAGAAACATATTGCAGCACATAACTTGACAAATTTCCTTCTTCTTCTTGTACTTGTGTCCATGTAATCTGCAGCGTGCTGTCTCTACACATTCCAACCCCCCCCACCCCCGCTCCCCTGTGATTGGCTATCTCCATGTCCACCATGGAGCAATCTCTGAGCGTGCATTAGGGTGATTGTTCATTTATTTATGTATGTTTAGGGGGGATTTCCTTTGTTTTGCAAAATTGTGTGTGTTTATAGGTCCTTGGATGCTTTATATGTCTGTCCATATTTGTAGATTGTTGTGTTGCATGCGGAAAAGGCATGTCTATTTGTCTCTCTAACTGTGTGTGTGCTTCAGAAAATCTTCAAATTGAACAAATGAAATTCTCTTCCTCCCGTCTGTCTGGGTGTCTTTCCTTTCTCACTACTCCATTTACTTATCCGTCGTCTTGGTAGGACGTTGGAGGGGTTAGAGATGGCAGAGGACCAAGCCTCGGAATAAATGCTCTGTTAGTATCTTGGCTGACATTGTGGTGGACACACACGCTCTCTCTCTCTTTTTCTCTCACACACACACACACACACACACTCCTGGCAGGTTTTACAACTCCTTGTATATTGCTGGGTCTGGTTTTGGCAGGTAAGCTCAAGGACTCTTTGAAAGACCATTTAATACACGAGGCCTAGTGTGCACGCGCACCCACACACTCACACGCACAAGCACTCCCCTATTTCTCCTGTTGTCTCAGACTTGCTTTGTACTGAGCTGATGAGGGAAGGTGAGCAGCCAGACTGAAGTGCTTTACTGTTCTGGACGATGGGGTTGAGGGGCGGCAGAAGTTCAGATGCCGCCATACATCTTCCCAACAGCACTGCAGCCCTGCCCTTGTGGTCGACTGCAGCCTGTTGTAAATATTTGCTGGGAAGGGACCGAGACAACATCAGATGCTGGATATACACAAAGACACACACATCAACAGACATGAAGGCATTTCCCTTTTTCCTTTCTGTTGCAGCAGTGACCACCATGTGGAGATGCTGATCACAGAGGAGCGGGGAGGATGTGGATGAAATACGAAAAGACGCATTCTGGAGATTACGCAATAAAAACTGAAGCTATTAGCTAGTAGCTTGGGCTTTTCTTTAAATAGCCTCTCATTGGAATTCTAATGGGAATTGCAATTTTACTCGACAGTTTCTCCCACAGTGTCTGCTGTGGTTGGATGACTGTCAGTGGGTGCATTACAGCAAGTGCTTTGTTTTCATCTTCATTCACCGTGAAACATGAACAGCATTAGCTGACGTGAAACAACAATCAATACAGCTCATTGCTAATAAGCTCATGAAAGATTTTCTGCCTTTTGTGGACATGCTCTTTGTCATTCAGGAAATTCAGTTATTTTCTTCAACCCTCTAACCCTCAATCTAGTGGAATCTAACAGAACACAATTATCATTTTTCGTTTTGTTCCACTGTTGAATGCACATGCAGCTGTTGTGATGAAGTCAAAGCATTCGGTAAGGTGCGCTCTGAATACTTGACACTGAACAATTGGCCTTTTACTAAAACCCTCCCCAACCAGCGACGGTCCAGTCATAGCTTAGCAACTGGAACTGTGTTGTTGGTGGTGTTTTCCTATTTACAGTGTAACAGTGAAAACATGAAGTTACTTGAGATGAAAATAATGTTTTGTGAACCCTGCCACCTCCCTAAACTGTGTTTGTGAGCTTGTGTGTGTGTGTGTGTGTGTGTGTGAGAGAGAGATTCAGATCGTGTTTCAGGAAGTGCATGTTTGTGAGTGTGTGTGTATAGTTGTGTGTCAGCTTGTTTGAAGCTTCCTTATCTAAAGGCAGAGGTGGGTCAGTGTCATGTCCAGTTCAGCATTCTCTACTGTCCCTTTTTTTTACACTGGACCAAACAATGCTGGCATGCTATCTAAAATCGCACTCTGGGGCACTAGAAGCAAAAGAGGCGTGATGTGTAACACAACAGCGTCGTGACAAAATATATACGCATCAGGCAGCAAAATTGCTTTCTAAACAATAATAATGATGTTTGAACTGAGTGTTGAGGTGCTTTTGCTAGCCGTGCACACACTACTCTGCAAATGCAAGCAAAGTTGATGTACGTCGGACAACAAGATGCGAACAATGGTGGATTTGTGCAAGATCAGAAATATGTTGAAGGAGACACGTCCAGACTCCAGTACACATATTCAATGAGCTGATACAACCAGTACATCCATTGCCAGAAAGAGAAAGGTGAAACACAGAAAGGGAATAATGGCAAATGTATATATATATATAGGTAAATGTACCTATAAATGAAAATCTTAAATTAAATCTAATAAAGTAAAAATAAATCTGCTTAATGTGCAAGACTGACTCCCAACGTAGTGCAGTTCCTCATATTGCTGAGAAAGGTAACTAGGTGGAGTGGTATAATACAACATAATACATTATCATGTAATGTATGTTGTGTATATAATGTATATGATAATAACTACAGGAACTACTAAATATTAATAGTGCTACTAGTATGAAATGTAAAAAAAGGGGAAATTATCATATATGTAGCCGGTAGGAAGTGTATAATGTAATAGTTCTGAATTGTATAATAATAATAATAATAATAATATACAGTCATGATAGTCATAAAGTGTTTGAACATTGTTTATGGTGGAGTGTGTCTGCCTCCAGACTCTTCTAGTCTGACCTTGGCTCGGGGCGGAGGAGGTAGAGCGGGTTTGCCGTTAATCGGAAGGTCGGCGGTTCAATCCCTGACTAGGGGGAGTCAGGGATTGCGTGTCGAAGTGTCCTTGGGCAAGATACTGAACCCCGAATTGCCCCTGGCGGCTGTTCCACCAGTGTATGAATGAGTGTGAATGTTAGTTTCTGTTTGAGCACTTAGGCTCAGTGTATGAATGTGAGTGACTGGTGAATGCAGATGTAGTGTAAAAAGCGCTTTGAGTGGTCGAAAAGACTAGAAAGGCGCTATACAAGTACAGAGCATTTACATTTACCTACGAGCGGGCCTTCCTTACCAGCTTGTTTAGTCTGCATGCCAGCATCACCAGCTTCGATGCCACCTCCACAATACACTACGAAAAAATACAACCACCGGCTACCATAGACTCATCTTCAGTAGCTTGTTGCACACGCTGAATGATCTCAGCTTCCTCAAGAACACCAGCCTGCTTTGGCCCCTCCTGTAGAGGGTGTCTGTGTTGTGTGTCCGGTCTAGTTTTGTCGTTGATTTGGACACCGAGGTACCTGTATGTGTCCACCACCTCTACGTCCTCTACCTGAATGGGAACAAGTGCTTTTGGGCTGTGGCAGGAATTGTTGAGGAAATTTGAGGTATACTGCGTGAAGATGATATGTGATTCCTCAGGTGCTGCTGATCACCACCTCAGAGACGCTGCCGTCCCAGCTGACATACTGTAGCTGGATATGGTGTCAGGATGCAATTGCATTGCTAAGAGCATTTTGTCTAGCAGTCAGGGGTGGATGGTGTTGAAAGCACTGGAGAAGTCAAAGAACAGGACATCCTCCACTCTAATGCGTCCTTGGTATGCAAATTGCAGAGGATCCATGAAGTCAGTTACCATGGTTCTTTAGCTCTGTAATCATTAAGAGCACTGGAACTTCCTTTCTTCATCACTGGGGCCACGCAGAAGGTCTTTTGTATCCCAGGTGCCTTCTTTAAACTCAGGGAGAGGTTGAAAGTCGTTGTAAAACACCTTTTCATCACATGAGTACCCTAAGGTTGATCTCATCTGGTCCACTTGCTTTGTTTGACCTGAGCCTGAAGAGCTCCTCACTTGGTGTGTGGTGATGGCTGGGAGGGGGGTTGATGGGATGTTAACCAGTGGGGGTTAGGGTTGAGGTGATGTGTCATCCATTGTTGGGGACTCAGGGGAGTGGCACGCTGGAGGTGGGGGAGGTGTGGATGTTGGCATTCTTCTTAGTTATGTGGGGTTTGTTTTTTGGGAAGGGACCTTTTTTTAGTCGGTACAAGACTTTATAAAAATGGATGTAGTCTGTAATAAAGGGGAGACAATCTCAATGTCCTCGTCATGGTCCTAAAGGTAAAGGTCCCAGTTTATGACATGGAGACACTCCTGCAGGGAATCAACAGCGTCCTTAGACCTAACCTTTACAGTCCTTCTTATGTCTTCACAACAGGCTTGTGAGTGGATACCAGGTGAGCTACTGTAGGTTGTGGTTTGAAGGTTGATGCTCCTCAGGCCCATCGCTCCAAAGCCTGAGGGCTCAAACACTTTAGATTTTCACCCGAGACCTCCTGATGTCCAGTGGATAGACTATAAAGACATGAGGTCTCAGGTGTAGAGTACCAAAGAGATTTGCCTCACGGCACTCTACCTTTAAGTTACTTGTGTTTCCCTACGAATGTTTGAATTTGAATAAATGCTCAGCTTTAAATTTGAACCTTCATTCAATTAAAAAAATATATTTTTATAAATATGTTTTCTAACTGGAAGAGGAATCAAACAAGAACAAACCTAACAAAAACAAAAACCTTTATTATTTTGGTGCATTTTTTGGCAAATGAGGTCACTGAAGGACATACTGCTGCCAGAGGAGCTTAATACACTTTTGATATGATTTAAAACCTTAACCTTCAGAGAGAGAGAGGAGGCGCTGCTTCAACAAAGGCCACGTATTTAATGGGAGACAGTTGTCATCTACTACCTTAATTGATCACAAAGGATGAGATGCCATCAGGATGTGTCAGACTCAGCTCAGTACATTGACAGTGATTGATCGATCGAGCATTATGCGTTCACTTCACGATAATTAATCACAGCAGCAGTGTAAGGACTGGTCTAGTGGTGGAGGAAGGACACATGCAGACAAATTATTGTTTTCCGCCAGCTGGCAATGTTGGCGGCAAAGTGCTCGGGTTGAAGTTACACTGAGGTTTGATATCACCAACTGGGATGGTATTTTTAATGTCAGGAGTTCTGTGTTGATATCAGTTCGTCTCATCAGTGGGTAAATTCAACAAGGAGCACAGGTCTCTACAATTACTTTTGACCTTTTCATTACATCCAGTCGTACTGCAGTTGTGCAGGTTCAGCACACTCAGGCAGAGGGTTAACAGAGTAAATCAAGGACGGCCTGTGAGACCCTTTTTAATTTGTTTTCCTTGGACTGTGGGGACATTTTGTTTGTGTAGGACACACGTACAGCAAATAAACCCTTTATCTGGGTGGGGGTTTACCACCTCCGCTAACCAATTTGGTGGGCAGTAGATGAATGTGACCAGAGCTCTTATATATTAGTACACAGTATTTCATATTTAAAAGATGTGTGCATTGTGTGTGTGTGTGGGTGAGAGAGACAGATTGAAAAAGGTGAGTTTGTTCTTATGGTTTTAAAGGCGTGGATAAGTAAATACAGATTATCAAGTAGTATTTTACATTGTGAAAGAAGGGCGTAAACTTGAGACCTGCACACACAGACGCTCACACAGCTATGTGCATGAGCACACATGCACACTCAGGCGCACACCCTTTTTACATTACCCACACCACCATGCGTGTCCATGTCTAGGCGTATTTAGTATCTCGGACTACCCAGTATGTAAGTGGTTGCCTGGGAATGATGGTGTGCGTGCGTGTGAGATTAGGTTTCTGCATAACAGGTGGGACAGACTTTGCGTCATCTGTGATTGGGTCAAGTATCACGTTTTCTCCCTCAAGTCTGTCATTAACCCCCACCCCATCCCTCCCAGTCGGATACAGAAGGCCTCATGGTGTTCTCAGTCAGGACTGAAACTGCCTTCTCCATTTTATTTACAAAACATTAAATGCAACCCAATGCACAATAGAATACATTGTACCAAAAAATGCAAGAAAGCAAAGCAAAGGATTAAAGGCTTTTTGTGAACATGGGGTGGTGATGACGCAGTGGCTAAGACGCTTGCCTTTGGTGTGAGAGACCCGGGTTTGAATCCACTGTGAGACACCAATGTGTCCCTGAGCAAGACACTTAACCCCTTGTTGCACCAGAGGTGTGCGACTTCTGACACATATTGTAAGTCGCTTTGGATAAAAGCGTCAGCTAAATGAATAAATGCAATGCTTATATATTCTGTATTAGGGTATATCTTATTTAGTTGTTGCTGTCAACTTTCATTATGTAAACCTACAATAGATGATACTTCTTTATTAGTAACAGTTTCCTTTATGTTTTTCTTCCTGGTGTCTCCAGTCATGGCTGAGGATGTATGGTTACCTGCCCCAGGCCAGCAGACAGATGTCCACCATGCGATCAGCTCAGATCCTGTCCAGTGCCATCAGCGACATGCAGCGGTTCTATAGCCTGGAGGTCACCGGACAGATGGACCCTCAGACCATCAGGTCAGCAGGGCTTAACTATGATGTTTTTGCACACTAAGACTTACTCACACTCACAAAAAACAATCCTGACACATTTTACGTTACACGTTAGTTAAATTATTACTTTTATGTTTTGCAAAGTCCCTGGAATGTTTTAAGATTATGATTTGGCCTAGAATTTTAGGCTTAGCTGGTCAAGTCCTCAGTGGTATAAAAGAGTTAGTAGTGTTTCCCCTTCCTCAGTAACTGCCTTTGAGCACATTCTCCTCAGTTGCTTGAGAGGAACTGCTCAGTAGCCTGGCTGTACTAGGGAGCTCACAGGTACACTTACATATACATCAAGAAGAGAAAGTAGGGATTTAAAGGTATTTCGCTCTTTCATCTCCTCTCTTGGGTGCTCCCTCCTTTCAACACACACATACGCACACACATGCACACACTCACACACACACATATCTCTGGCCCACTCCTGACTTCTTTCAACTCCTTTAGCGCCATGAAGAGACCCCGTTGCGGTGTGCCTGACAAGTTTGGAGGCCAGATCAAAACCAACGTGCGGCGAAAGCGCTATGCCCTCACCGGACATAAATGGAACAAGAGCCACCTCACTTACAGGTAACAAAAACAACATTCTCTTTGTAAAGAAAACCTAACCTGCCTCAGCCGCACTTTACGTGCCAAAGTTTTTCTTTGTTGGCTACTGAAAGCTGCCTATGAATCCACAAAGGGGTATGTTTTACTTGAAAGTCATATGGGACACAAGCCTTTATGCGATTTTTTTCCCTCTTCCCCTCTTTGTTCCCATAGTATCCAGAACTACACTCCCAAGATTGGAGAGTATAACTCATACGAAGCCATCCGACGGGCATTTAAAGTCTGGGAGGGGGTGACCCCATTGACCTTTGACGAAATCCCCTACCAGGAGATCAAATATGGACGCCGCAAGGAGCCCGACATCATGATCTTCTTTGCTTCAGGATTTCATGGAGACAGCTCTCCTTTTGATGGGGAGGGAGGCTTCCTAGCTCATGCCTACTTCCCTGGACCTGGAATGGGTGGGGACACACACTTTGACTCGGATGAACCATGGACCATAGGAAACCAGAACGTACAAGGTAAAGTTTCTGTCAGTATAATTTGTAATGTCTATTGAATTGTGGATTTTAGGGAGAGTGGTAATTTCCTTTAGCGACAGCCAATTGCTGTAGAGAAAAATAATTAGAAAGCATAAAAAGGACAGGGAAAGAAAATGATGTTCCAAGCATACTAATCTACAACAAACACCTTTCTAGGGCTTTAAAAATAATCATCTTATATGGATTTGTTTGGGTGTTTTGCTGAACAAGTTGAGTTGGTGTGTAGTTTGTGTTATGTGTGTGCAGCCACACAGACAGATTGCTGTGTTATGAAGCTTTTCCTTGACATCATGGATGGTGTAGGGAAGTCATTTGTTAACTTTCAGGTAGAAATTTAGGATTGAGGGGTTACGACAGGGGTCGGCAAATAAGTCTGGCATCTGGCCAAATTTTTTTTCAAGCCGCTACATGGCGGGCCAGAGCATAGTTTAATTATTTCAAACCCTTGGATATTCATGTGCACGTTTAGCTCAGTCGGACTCTAGTTGGGGGAGTTGTGTGATCGATCCCAACATTTTGCATACTTTTTCCCCCTCCCTTGTTAAACAAATTGATTAGCGTATAAGGACACTTTTGCGCATGCTCACAATAAAGCATGTGCTGCAGTGTGTGTGTGTGTGTGCGTCCCTTCATTTGATCCACATTCATAAACCTTATTTTTATTTCCCTGAGGAAATTCAGAGGAATCCAATCACACGTTTACTGACAGCTTTTTCAGAGGTGTGTCAAGCAGGCCAGAGACTCTTTCAAATGTCCTTCAGAAATTTCCAAAATAAAAGCTCTCAATAAACTCAACATGAAGCATTGCTGCAAAAAAACATTCTCACGGTTTTATTTTGCACAATCACGTAAGAGGAAGCGATTATGTGAGTAATTGTTGCTGTCATGACAGATCTATTTCAGCACCTGCCACTATCAATTTATTTATTTTGAATTTTTCTGCTATCAAAGCAATCTGACTGGGCCGCGGGCCGCTTATTGCCGACCACTGGGTTACGAGGTCCTTTCTGTGACTGTTCAGCTGATGAGCAGTTTGCACCACTAAAGTTGTGTTGCGTAGGTTGTAATGGATCTATATAATTGATAGCAAACAGCTGTCCCCATCACACCTAACTAGAGTTGGCATGGTAACTACATCATCTCTCGTTTGTCAGCTACTCCATTCACCTCTGTAAAAGATCAAAGCTGACACTTGGTGTTGTCACAAAATCTTTGCCCCAACTGCACCACCTTATAGTCCTCAAACGTGCCCCCAATTATGTTGCTAAGAACGTGTACTGACATACACTAATCCATGAACTCTGTGATCTATGCACCATGCTAAACTCATTGCCTAAACATACCCTCATCCCTCAATCATTCATGCTTAACCTTTACACTTTCCTCAAGATGAACCCTAAACCCAATTACAACTCTTAATACCAATGTATAGTACTAAACTAATCATATTCAAAAGTGAGGATTAAGAAAATATCTTCATTTTTATGAATTTTGAGAATGAGTCTTCAGAGTTCCTCTTCTTGCTGTGCCTCCATTAACCCTGCTGACTAGAGAGGGATTTTTTTTTATTACAATGGGCTTTCCTGCCTGGTTATCTACGTACACAAAGCAGACACAGACAGCTAAACTTTGTGTGTGCGCGTGTACAACCATATGTGTGTGTCTGTATCTGTGTGATCAGCTGTGTGTGGGATGTGTCGCCGGACAGATCACAGAGACGGTGGAATGCCACAGTAAGTGGGAGTGTGTTCCACTCGGGGAGATCTGTAGACTGCTGCCTTTGTTGCACCACGCTACTTACACAACTTAAAAGCAGAGGACAAACAAATTACAATCTTGTCTCACTTTAATTAGACTCTTGTCCAGTTAGTTGAACTTTTCACAGATCACAGTCTTCATGTAACATGTTTACTGCCTTCCAATTGCGCAATTGGTGAAACGTAGCCCCTGCCCTTTGTGAAATTTGAATTTTGTATTTTTTTCCAGCTGCAAACGAATCTCAGTTGGCTGTTGGAGTGATAGTGCTCAGTCATTTAGATCTGACACAACAACAATGTTGCTTGAATGCTAAACATTCTATGGTTCTTCCCTCTCAAATAGAAAGATTTGCCTCTTTTCTCTGTTTTATTTCATTGTTAATATAATACATATCTTTAGGTTTACACTGTTGAGGATATTCCTCCAGACTACAACTGTTCATGCTGGTGCAAACAAAAAAAATTAGATTGTACGTTAATCTCACATGAATCAGTAGAAATGTATAAACTAAGAGGTGAGACGTGAAGCAGCCTCAGTTAGTCCAAGTGTCCTTGAACACAAAGCAGAATCAGTTCTGACCTCCTTTTGGATGGGGTCAAACAAAAGCTGTCTTTAGCTAAGGGATCAATAGTTACACATAAAAAATGTATATGATGGCTGAACGTTTTGGCCCGATATTGCATTTACGATTCGATTTGCGATTTTTTTTTTAAGTTTAGCATAAGTTCAGTATTCACTGCAAGTCTATTTTTAACGGAAGCCGTGTCAAGCAGCACAGAGCAGATGATCCGGGCAGGAAGTCAGACACAGAACGGCATAGAGAATCCGGTCGATTTTCAAAATAAAACACCCTGCGCACACTCCCGATCGTATATCAACAATAAACACAGTTAAAAGAGACAAAAAATAAACAATTTAACTATGTAACCTACTTAACCATAGAAGAAGCACAAAAAGCAAGGTTAACTGAACAAATTAACAAAATCTGAACAGGTCAGCAAAATCAGGCAGGCAAAAAACTCTTATTCTGAAATGCTTTATGTGGATGTAGCCGAGCGGAGCAAAACAGGCTCACAGAGAGCTGTTACCGGTAGTTGAAGCACACAGAATGACAAATTAACAACACGTCAACAACGTAGGGCAGGCTAAACACTCCACTGCTGAAACACATCATTGTGAGTTGATGCCGGACAAAACCGCGGCACAGCCGCTGTCTGTTTCGATTCACCTGATGCCATTATCTCAAATTTCCCTCTAGTTTTGTTTGTTGTTGTAAAATGTACACGCCCTGTGCCCGCTCTGATTGGTGATAGGACCTTACCAGGTGTATGGTGCTTGTGATTAGTTAGCAAGTCTGTCACACAAGGATGACAACAGAATGAATCTGTAACTGCCATGACTTTTTAAAAGGTTTTAAAAGGGGTCAGATGTATAATTAACCTACATTTTAATCGCGTTCTTTCAAATCGTAGTTTCAATTCAAAAACGATTAATTGTTCAGCCTTAATTGACGATAAAAAAACAAATGCATTTCTTTCCCTTTCCTTGACCTCAGTTATGTTATCGGGCTAAACATGTTTGGTGTGAAACCTTGTGACACACAGTGTGATTAATCAGCCTTTTTTGCACAGCTGCTCTTACGAAAACAGCACTTACGCTTTATCCAAATAACTTGCTGACATGCACACTCAAACACACCTTAAACAGATGAAATGCTGTAGGCCACTATCGGTAAATGGTCAGAAGCTTTTGTGGTCTGATGAGGCTAATGTGAGTAAGTCACTGGCAAAAGTCAGTGCAAACTTGGAGAGTGCCTCCTGGTTGTCAGGGTGCTGTTTTAGTGTGCTTTTTCTTCACCGGGGAGTCCCCCTCACTGCTGATGAACGAGGTGAGAGACATGGTAAACAAGTGAACAAAGAGAGAGAAGAGTTGAAGTAGGACTTAAATGACAAATGTGTGTGTGTGTGTGTGTGTGTGTGCATGGTAGTCTAAATTAGCAATAGATGGACTGACTGAACTTCTAACTTTGCCAAGACTTTTGAAGTTTACGCTTGCTTTCCTCTGTCGAACTGAATGGTTGTCACAGTTACCTCACAATGGCCTCTTTATCTGCTCTCAGTGCTCTGCCTGTCTCTCTCCCTCTTGCCTTTTTTCATCCTCAGCTATCTCTAGCACTCTAGTCTTACCCTCTGCCATTTTCTCTCTTTAAGTGTAAGTTGCAGCTAAGTAAGCCATGAGGACATTCATGTGACTCTGGAATTACAGATTGTAGGGAAGAGGAACTGAGTGTGTCCTTGTGTGTGTGTTTGTATGCTTTGCAAAGAGGAAATGAGGAGACACACAAGGAAAGGCATCCAGAGTATCCGTTCTTCCCTTGCATGCACAGCAGTGACATCACCAAGCCTCAGTCCCCCAAAAGCATGATGTCAGTGGCACAAATCTAGCCTATCAGCATGGGCCATCAGGCCAGACAAAATTGCTAGCAAGTTCAAAGTTCACAGAGAGCAGGGCGAGGCAACAAAGAGGTATTGACTGAGGGGAAGCACCCACATGTGTGCTGGCTTCACTTCAGAGATGAACTTGTGGAATATGTTGGTCAATTCTAAGCCAGGTTTTCTCTGGTCTTACTTTTCCAAAGACATCTGTAAGAAGCCCCTTTATGTAGAGAGGAAGTTGATGAAGCGGTCAGTGTGTCACAGCTGCGTGATGTTGTCCATATGTAATTGTTGTGTCGCAGCGACAGCGGACAGCATCCCTTAATTAGTTAGAAATGTAAGAAATGACTGCTGATAGATATCAACAGTCATTAGCCTGCCTGTGTGTGATTTTTCTGTGATCTGTACAGATTTCTTTTGACATATCATATCATACATTGACTGCATGGATTTATTAAGACATTCTGTTCTCTGTGGCCTGCAGCATATGCAGTCCTTGTGTGTGTGTTTCATAAGACACCCATGTATGAATGCAGAGGGACATGTGTATTCTGTCTTTGTCCTTCTACACAAACACAAAGAGTTCCTTTCTAGAAATGAAGTGCATATTGTTTGACTTTCCTCCCTCCCTTAACTTGTGTCTTTGCTCAATCATTTCTATTCAGGTAATGACCTCTTCCTGGTAGCAGTCCATGAGCTGGGCCACGCCCTGGGTTTAGAGCACTCCAACAATCCCCTGGCCATCATGGCTCCGTTTTACCAATGGATGGAGACTGAGGACTTCCAGTTGCCTGATGATGATCGGCGGGGCATACAGCAGATCTATGGTACGATGTTTTTTGGATGATGGCCAGTATGTGTCCAGTATGTGTAATCCTCAGCATGTTAAATCATGAGGACATGAAGTAGTGATTTGAAATTTTTTATTTTTTAATTGAATTTTTTCTGCATTTTCTGTCAAAGAATGCAACTTTCTTTACTTAACTTAACTTAACTTAAAAAAAAAAAATCTTTTATCATGAGAAGATCAATAACGCGTTTGTATCCATTTGTTAATTATGAGGCCGCGGCTGGGAGATTGTTAGCTTAGCATAAAGACTGGGAGCAGGAAAGCTCACTAATTAACACGTTATATCTCGTTTGTTTAATCAGTACAGTAGTGGTTTACGGGCCAGACTATTTCTTGGCCGGGAACAGTAACCTGAAATTGTATTGTCACTTTAGAGTTGCCAGAGATTCAGACATATAACGTGTTAATTAGTGAGTTTTAGAGGAGATTCTTTTTAACCTTTGAGTAGAGCAATGCTTCCGGTTTTGTCATGTTTCCATTCTTAATGCTAAGCTAAGCTAACCATCTCCTTGCTGTATCTGTCTGTATTAAACATAGTGTAGATAACACTGATATCAATCTTCTCATCTATTTTTTTGGCCAAGAAAGCAAATAAGCATATTTTCAGAAATGTTCTATGCTTGTCAGGTTTTTCAAATTGTCTATCATCAAAATAAGCAGCTTTGAGTCTTCATTTCGTTCATTTGAATTAGGCAGTTGTAAGCTTGACGTTTTGTGGGATCTTCTCTCTCCTCAGGCAGCCAGTCCTATATTTTTTCATCATGCATAACAGGTTTAAACCCACCGTGTTCATTTCTCGCTGAAGGTCAACCGGACAGCGTCCCCACTCAGGCCCTGCCCACAGTGACACCCCGTCGCCCGGAGCCCAGGCCGCCTCAGACACCTCCTCGGCACCCTGACCGTCCTAGGACCACTGAAAGACCAGATCACTATGGACCCAATATCTGTGAGGGGAACTTTGACACGGTCGCTATGCTCCGAGGAGAGATGTTTGTTTTCAAGGTAAATAGTTCCTGCTTCAGGATATTTATTAACTTCAGCCACCAGCTGCTAGCTTGGTTTAATTTATGAGCATGAAACATTAGAAGAGATATGTTTATCTTCACAATGGTTTATTACTTGTCCTTGCTTGGAAATTCAGTAGGCTACCAGCAGAGGAGCTGCCCTGGCAAGTTAACTGTGTCAATAAATGAGTTATTCTTTTCTGTATAATCAGTTTGAGACAAAAGGCGTGTACACTGCCAACAAGGGGTCTGTTTTCAATCAGGTCCTTGTGGATTGTAAACCAACAGGGCCAGTGTTTTTTATGAGTCGCAACACTGTTAAAAGGGTGGGGTGCGGTCAGGTGTTTGCCTTAAAGAGCCTCTGGACCCACACAAAACATTCATAAAGGCTGAAGCAGCACTAAGCTATTAGCTTGGATTTTACCTTCAAGAGATACGTCGCAGAAAACTGTCTGCCCGTACTGGACATTTTGCTGTTGGCTGCAGTTGCTGTCAGCTGGGTTTTATTATTTAGTAAATATTTAAGGGTTTTCTTATATAATGCAACTCAGTCCTGTTTTCATTTATTATAAAACTGTGTTTTCGCCTATCGCGGAGGTAATGGTTCCTTGTCAGTGTCGATGATGTAAGGAATGTATGTGGTTACTCTCAAAGTTGAATTAATTGAAATTTCAGCACCAAATAGGACTCAAGTTTCTTCCTGTGTATTTTCTCCTCTTCAGGATTTGTTCAGTGAGGCTCTATCCTAATGCAGCTCTACAAAGATAAGTAATGATGTGTTTCGGTGGGAGAGGTCACAGGAGGTGTCCAGTGCTGGCAGTGCTGAACACTGAAGAGGTTTGCGGATATTAGATAGGGCTGAACAGAGAACACCCAGGCTTTACTTTAAAGGAGCCTTCACTTTCACAAATGTTGTTGTGACATCTGCAATGTTGGCATTTAACAGTGAACCCCACCAGTAGGGATTCAAACAGCTGAAGATATCCAACAGTTTCAAACTATCAAACACGTCTAACCGGAGCCCAGTAAAGCTTTTTGACAAGCCTGTGTCAAGGGTGAAATATAGAACAACATAGAGCTGAAAACATAACTGATGAAGTAATTCTGCAAAACTGATTATGACAATCGTTTTAATAGATTTCTGGGTGGGATTTTTTGTTTTCTATGTTTTCATAGAGTAGAACATGACAGAGCCCTGTCCCTCCAAACACACAAAGATCTCGGACTGTTTGTTTGATACTTAAAAGCAGTAGCAGGCATACAGCTGCCTTGACATGTGCTGCACATGGTCAAACAATTATATCTGTGCTCTTGGGTTTCATCTCAGCCAGTAATGTCTGTGTTCTTAGGTTTCATCCGCTGTCATAAAGCTAGTCTGGATAGCATTAATCAGTGTCCAAAATTAACTTTTTCCATGTCTACCAGTGGTTCTTAAACTAATACAAATGACCTGATCAGACTGAGGGCAGGCCAGAAGCAATTCCTGTACTTTTAGTGATTAGTACAATTTTGTGGAAACAATTATAATACAGTATCATGTAATGTCTGAAAAGTTATATAAGGAACACCTACTTAGTGCCAAATAGTAAAATGTATAATTTGTGGCTAAATCAAAGGCTTGTAGTTTTGATATGTAATTATCATTAACCTACATGTTTTTTGCATCTGCTTCATAGCAGCTGAGCCCAAAAGTTAATTATATTCACTGCTTTGTTTCTTCATTTTTAGCAATGCCAGTGGTGTGGCTCTATGGATAGAAATGTCGTTCTGTCCACCGCTTCGATCCAGACTGAAATATCTATTAGATGTTTGGCCATAACATGTTGTTCAGCCATTCATGGCCCCCAGAGGATGAAACGTAATAAATTCCCCTGACTTTTCCTCTAGTTCCACCAGCACGCAGCTGTACTTGCTTGTACTTGGACAACAGCTGGTTACTTGTGTGCTTAATTGTAATACTATATGTATGTACTAATTGTAATTAGCAAATGTTAGCATGCTAACACACTAAACTAAGTTAGAGAACATGGTAAACATTAAACGTGCTAAACTTTGGCATGTTAATGTTGAGCATACTGATGTTAGCATTAAGTTCAAATTACAGATGACCTGTAGAATTTGCTGGCTATGTATCCCATGTACAGAAACATTAAAGATGGTCTAATTTTAGACTTTTTAAACACCATGCATAGAGGAGAGAAACAAGACAAAGGCTGGACATGCTGCAGCATTGTGACTTCCTTTGCCCTTTTCTTTCACTTCTTGATAGTCTCATGGACAGAGAGTGTGTCAGAAAGCACGAAGATTGACAAGTCACATAAGCACTTCAGATATTGCAGTCTCCAGATGTTATCAGCTAGCATCGACTGCTATTATTGTCAGTTAGCACTTGGTTTGGGATTCATTTTAGACTACTGTTTCTTTTTCAAACTGTCCACATGTCAATTTGTAAGTGACGCCTCCACTGTTCAGAAATTGTAGTTATCTATGGTCACCTTTCTTCTCTACAAGCAGAATGACTTACTTTATGTGCTGTGTGAGTGGGAGTCATCTGTAGCACATGAGTACCACTCTATCTATCTTCTTCACAGTGTCTTGTCCATTAAAAAAAGTAAGGGGATGTTATTCTGCTGGGAAATGTCTCCTTTCTTTTATTCACTTCAGGAGGTTGGACATAAAGACAACCAGCAGAGCACACTGAGCTGCTTTCAATATTGAAACTCCCACACTGAGATCTGTCTGTTCTGCTGAGGACTAATATGGTGAATTCACTCGTAATCTGGTCAATGCAAGAAGCTGTCAGACCACACAAATCGAAGCGCATGCAGTCTGTTCGGTTCGGCCCTGTTCTGTTTCTCTCGGCTCACGCCAACCCGTCTCCATTCTGTTCCATTCCATACCGTGCCGCGCTGTCCTTTCTGCCAACACGTCCTGCGTGAAGGACAAAACTAGGTGTGCTTGCCAGAAAGAAGCAGCGCTGAGCATTTTACTGTTACATTATCCAGGACAGGCAGGACTACTGACTCACCACTTATGAATGAGTCCGAGGGCTTCTGGTGTAAATATGTCTGCTGGCTTGTGTGCACAGCATATACACTAGATATGAATGTTCACAAGCAGAAGTGTCTTTCTGCGCTTCGATTAAAACATGCTACTAGTGACTTCCCTGGTTTTGTGCTGCTGACTTGACAATGAAATCAAACAGTTCTTTATAAAAGTGATCTTGGGGCAGGCTGTGATCAACAGAGAGTGCAATAAGGGGATGTGATAAATCCACCAGACCGTAGACTGACTATTATTAGCCTGCTAGAGTTCCGCTATTGTTAGTTTATTGTACGTTCTGGTCTAGTTATCCTGCAGGGCTCAGTTTGCTTGACATAAGGGCCATCAAGCATTATGACATTGCTGTCTGACCGGCTCAGTGGGACAAATACTACAAATCAGTTGACTAATAAAAAGTGAATACCTTTCTTACTATTAGGGGTGGCGATATGACCTAACATTTATATCACAGTAAGGGAACCTGTGATAAGATATAGGGCTACATGTGTTTTGGGAGGGGTAGCCTGCTCCATAATGTAAGTTAATTAGTAGATGAGTTAAACAAGGGGTGTAATTAGGCATCTCAACAGCAATTATTTGGCAGAAAACCCAAAGTATATTACATTGTTCGGTCAACCTCAGTGCACCACACGGCATGTCTATCAATTATATTTACATACTGAGGCAACAGACTCACATACAGCTGCACTTGTTGTCTGCCTCTCTCACCAGATTCTTCCCACATTCGCAAATGTTACTGTCGATTTTCAAGTCACATCTCAAATCTGCTGCACAGGCTGTGAGTGTGTAAGTGAGCATTACATCACAGCCAGCTACGAAAAAAGAAACTGAATCTGCTGTTAGGTGAACACAACATATGCACGCATGTGGAAACCAGCACCTTACACCTTTCATGTAAAAACAAAGCCAGCTGAGCTAGCTTTGCGGTATGAAGTTAGTTACCCACATCTAACCTACTACTCTGGTTATTTAATCAGCTTCAAATGAGGCTCAGTGTTCACTGAATTTCTCTTGACTGTCCCTCAATATGACAACATTAGTCCAACATCGTCCCATCCTGTGAGAGTACAATAGCAACTGTTTTTCAGTTGTTGTTTGTTTCCATCAAAAAGGAAGTTAATCCACATGGTCTTCACTTCCTCAGATTGTAGGAGTAGATGAAGACTTATGTTGGTTTTTATAGCCTGGATGTAATTCCAGTTCTATAAGTATGTGCGTAGTACCTTTACCTGCATGTTATTGCAGCCACAGTATTTGTTTTATTATGTTTCTGATTATGTAATGATGGTACTGCAAAATCTATGTTGTGGCAGAACGTCACACTGGTGACGAATACTATACAATACTGCCCACCCCTACTTAGCTATCTGTTTGTCCTTCCCATCCTGCATGTACACCTCATCTGTTTTGAAAGAGTAGAGGCGTACAGTTAGAATGAGATATGAAGCCATATGTTTTAAACTTATTTGGGCATTGGTTTACTTTGGGTTTATTTCTTGGCTTTGAGCCTCAGCGTGGAATTTAGAAAAACAGAGAAAAAGAGAGATTACTGAATTTTCAACTCAAACATGCTGGATTTTTTTCCCCTCAGGGCCGCTGGTTCTGGCGGGTGCGTAAGAACAGGGTTCTGGATAACTACCCCATGCCCATCAGTCACTTCTGGAGGGGTCTACCTGGAGACATAGACGCTGCCTATGAGAGACACGACGGCAGGTTCGTCTTCTTTAAAGGTAAGCAGCAAACATACCGCTTTTCTGCTGCCCCACCACCAGACTGCAGAGCAGCTTTTTCCCCCAAGCTGTCAGACTCTTAAACTCTAATTCACCCTCAGCACTGCTCCACTGATGATAGTTTCTGATGATAGTTTATTTCTGTTTACCATTTTTGACAATTGATTCTTTATTAATGTAAATTGTCTCCTATGTAGCAGAAGGGAGTTACAAAAAACAATTTCACTCTATAACTTGTTATATTGTGACAATAAACCTACCTACCACTGATTTTCGTGTACTTGCTTTGAAGTTCACACTGGTCTGTACTTCACTATGTGTACATTCTTAAAGTCAGAAACAGCTGATTTTGTATTTTACAATTGTTAAGTGATACATTTCAAGACTTTTCACAAAAGTCATCACCTAAGATCATCAAACTGACACACATTCACCTCTTCATACCCCTTTTCTCTTGTTAGCAAACAGCACTTATCTCCCCACTTTATCTCTTTTAGGGAATTAATCTACGTTTCTGGTTGCTGTAAAAACAGGCCTGGGCCTGTTCTAAATAAACTTCTTCTGGTATTATTAGCTGTCACTTAGAGCATGACAGACATCCAGTAGAAACAATAGCCTTTGAGAAGATGCCCAATTTTGAAATTAAGGGTACTATTAAGGGTACCAGCTTCCCCACAGCATGCAGGAAAGTATCATACAAACTTGCAAGTAGCAGCAATGACAAACAACACCAGTGTTTAGATTCAGTTTCCAGTGAAGCAGCGCTGTTTACTCTGCCATGCCAATACACAATCATAGTTGGATTCACTGGAGGCTGTGGTTTAACACAAGATCCAGGTTTATCATAAGTCAGTCTGTCCGACATACTGTTTGTAGGGAGATGTCCGCTCGACAAGGTAAAAACTCTTCTTTGTTTTCGTTATTGCAATTTCTGAGTAGTGCAGGGTTCGTATAACAAGCATATGGAACACAAGTATACCGGGGCCTTTAACTTACGTATAATGTCCTGCATAGGCGACCATCCACCATCTGGTTTCTTCTTTACAACCTAAATACAGTTATAATGCTCCATGGTAATTTCAAACCATCATGATGTAATGCTTTCATATTTTAATGGTAAAAGAGATTCTGGAACCTTTTTCATCTTCTGCAGATAATGTTGAAGATATACATACCCCCACCGCCTTAAAGAAAGCAGCGGTAATGTCTTCTACTTGCAGAGTATAAATCTCTTTTAGCACAGGTCATTACTTATACTGTGAGTCACTGAGAGCAGCTTGTCTTTTATAACGGTGGATAAAGTTGTTGAATGAAAAATGGAGAACTCGGTGTTTAATGCAGCTTGACTCTGGGAGCTACAGGCTTTGGGGCAGCTGTTGATGATGAGGAGGATGATGTCATCAGCAAGGCTTTCAGTGTGACACTTGGTTGCAAGCCATTAGCAAGTAAATACAAAGGGAAAGGAAGATGAAAGAGGAATAGGAAGGAAAGACTGGCAGACCTCAGAGCACAAGAGAGGGGGGAGACGAACACAGCAGTGGGATGTCTGACAGACCAACCAGATCAGTCAGCACTTCACTTTCTGTTAGTGTGAAGGCAGAAGGACTTTCTCAATCTGCAATTCTGTCTGCACTTGTGTTCTCATGGAAACATCATCAGTCATGGCCAAAGTTTTGCACGGTGTTCTTGTTCTTGGGGATGCTTTGAGGGCTGACTTGATTTTTTATTTAAAAAATTTTTTTCCCGGCATTCTGTGGGCCAGCTAGCAAGTCAGTCTAGCTCTAGCTAGCAGATCTCTCCATCTCCCAAGATGACCATCTGGTCTACATCCATTAGGGGTGGGGGGGAAATCGATACAGCATAGTATCGTGATATTTTGCAAAGTAATATCGTATAGTAACACGAACATCAAGTATCGATCTTTTATTATATAAATTGTACATGAGAATTTTGTTTTTTGGCACTAATAAAAATGCATTTTCAGTCCACTAGAAAAAGAGTTTTCCTTCGGGGACACAATTTGGATTTGGGAAAAAGGTAAAATATTGCAATAAATTGCAATATGTTTTAAATCGCAACAATATCGTATCGTGACATAAGTATCGTGATAATATCAAGTGGCCTCTGGTGATTCCCACTCCTAACATCCGTAGTCTAGCAAGCTTCAGTCAATATGTATAATTATATATAAATGAAGTGAGGCAGTGTAGTGTGTGATACCAGATTTAATTTTGTTGTAACTATACAGTACATAACAGTGAGGCATGGCTGTAGTGAAGTGTAATTACCTGAGTCTAACTGAGCAAGATAACTTGTACAAATTGTAAATTGAGCGTACTGCGCTCAATTTGGACTCCCGAGTTCAACCTACCAACTTCCAAATAAGTGAGTTCGAACTTGTATTGATAAAAGGCCTGAGGGGAAAATATTTATTGAGGGTAAATGGATGGATGGAAGATTGAATGAATTTTTTAATAATGGACAACCTATGGCATATTGGGATTTTGAAAGATGTGGTCCAGGCTTGGTAAGTATGGGAACATCAGAGACTTCTCAGTACAGTAACATGCAAAATTGGATTCATCCACTCCTGTTACACAGCTGTTGTATTACCCAGAGGTCTTACAGTTTTCATCCCAAACAAGCCCAACTCTAATAGAAACCACTGTTATGACTTTAGAAAGTAGTTACACAGCAGGAAGGAATCAAATCTTTAGGTCACTGAAGCACTCTGGTGTAGTTATGGAGAGTCATGGAAGAAGTCATGGGATTTTACATCAGGGCTGTGCACTGCAGGAACCCTGGGAAGCATTGCGTCAACCACTTGTTCTCTCCAGATGCTGGAGAGAGAGTGTAGAGCAAGGGGCTGGAGGCGGGTGGATGGATGGGTAGTTGGGTGGGTGGGGTTTTGGCGGCGGTAGATTGAAGCCAAGAGGAGAGATGTAATGGTGCCAGGAGGAACAGAGTCCCCCTGTGTGACACAGTGAAAACAATAAAACCTTCCCTTCATCGAGAAAACTGCTTTAGCCTGACACGAGACAAGCCGCTCCTAATTGATAATTACAAGCTAAACCCAAACTCCTTAGTCAGTGATGTGGTACTCCTGTCTGCTGTTTTTTGATTGCTTGCCAAAATTTTTTATTGCATTCACATAATTTACAAGTCTGTGTAAATGCTGGTTTTGTTTCTCTGATTGTTCTTATTATTCCCTTTTTATTCCCCATTCAATTTCAATTATCTAACATACACTGTGCCAGCAAATGAAATGTGTGTGCACAAGCAGAATGTATACAGGTACATCTGTTCTTGTATGTGTCTAACCAAGTGTATGTGACATACAGTATGAATCTCCTCTCCTCTCCTCTCCTCTCCTCAGGAAACAGATTCTGGCTTTTCAGGGAGGCTAACCTGGAACCGGGCTATCCACAGGAGCTGGTTGATTATGGTCGGGATATTCCCTACGACCGAATAGACACAGCCATCTGGTGGGAGCCGTCCGGCTTCACTTACATGTTTCAAGGAGACAGGTAACATAGCCTACAACCTGTCAGCACCACATGAAAGTTATTAACTCATCTAGTAACTAATCCTTTTATAACCTTCCACAGGTTGAGCTCGATCTCAACCCATGTGTTCCCATGAAACAAACACGTACAACATCCTGCTGACTTTAGTGATCCCCTTTCTTTTCCTCCAGTGGCAACACGATGTTGACATTTAAGTTAAGACGGAAAGGTCTCAACAACTGTTAGATGATAGATGGCCACATAATTTGGAGCAGACATTCATGTCTCACTAAGATTGAATTGTAATCATTTTGGTGACCCCTTTACTTTTCATCTCGCTCCATCAACAGTTTAATTTGCCCAGTGCTTTGGTTTATGCTCAAGTAATGACATTCCCAACAGCCTTGGCTATACTTTGTGTTACGCTTTGTGTTCTTCTATGTCAGCATGTTAACGTGCCAAAATATGATGGTGAACATGGTAAACATTACACCTGCTAATCATCAGCATGTTAGCATAATCAGAGTGAGTATGTTTGCATGTTAAAGTTAGCATTTAACTGTGAGTAGGTACAACAGCCTCACAAAGCAGCCAGTGTGGCTGTAGACTCTTAGTCTTTGTATTACACATATGGTTTACGGAATGCTAACCACAGGTGCAACAGTACACACAATTTGGTTCCTGTCTTTGCCCTGAAACACTAAAACTAATTTTTAGCTGTGATTTTTATTTTTTACATTTATGAAAATAATTACACTATAGGTCTGCAGTTCCAATAAAACCTCCTGAACACAGTATGGCTGACTTGCTTCTGGTTTACTAGTGTATTTACACAGATTTTAATGTTCTGTGGAAAACTTTAATACACACACCATGTAGACCCACCATGCACCATGTACTCTGTTAGAAGTCTGCTCTTTTCTTATTTAGACAGTTGATAAACAGTAACAGCCATCTTCTCCGTTAATGCCTGCAGGTACTGGCGCTTCAATGAGCAGTCGCGCTCTGCTGACAGAGGCTACCCGAAACCAATCAATGTCTGGGGATCATCAGTGCCCTCTTCTCCCAAGGGGGCCTTCCTCAGCGATGATGGAGGTGAGCTGAGACAAGAAGAGCGTTTTCTGTCTTTGTGTGCGTGTGTGTGTGTGTGGGGGGGGGGGGCTTGTTTTACTATATTCAAATGGATTTCCACTATACTTTAAAGGGCTGTTTGAGGGTTAAGATTCGGTTTTAGGGTTAGGTTTAGAATTAGGTTATGGTTAGGAGTGGGGGAAGGGTTAGGGGTTAGGGAATACATTATGTCCCAACAGGGATAGGGGAACACACGTGTGTGTGTGTGTGTGTGTTTGAGAAGGGGAAAGGAGGGGCTGAGGCAGACAGAGACACGCCTGAAACAAAGAATCAGGGTGTGGTCATGCAATTATCAGGAGAGAGACTGGATAGCATGTATGTGTGTCTGTTGGAAAGTGAATCAGTAGACATTTTTTTCCTTTTACAAACTAATTATTTTGGATAAAGAAACAGCTACAGGGAAGTTTTGAAGCTATCAAAGAAATAGTTTGACATTTTGGGAAATCTTGGGAAAACTTCTTTGTCCTCTTACCAAGAGCTATATAAGGTGATTGATACCGCTCACATTGTCTGTCTGTTCAATATGAAGCTACAGCCAGCAGCCCGATAGCTTAGCTTAGCTTAGCTTAGCTTAGCGTGAAGACTGGAAACAGGCTAGCTGTTTCCTCCTGTTTCCCATCTTTATGCTAAGCTTTGCTAACCAGCTGCTGGCTCTAGCTACACAATGAACAGAAAGATAGTTAGAGTGGTATCAATCTTCTCTTGTAACTCTTGGCAAGCAGTCAAGGAAGCGTATTTTTCCCAAAATGTCAAACTATTCCTATTATATGTCTTCAAATTGTTGCGTTGGCTGACACCTTCTGCTCGACTTGCCTTCTCCAGCATACACCTTCTTCTACAAGGGTTCCAAGTACTGGAAGTTTGACAACCATCGCATGAAGAGTGAACCAGGCTACCCTAAGTCCATTCTAAGAGACTTTATGGGCTGCAGCGTGGACATGGACCCAGACAGAGACACGGACACAGACTCAGGACGCAAATACCCAGATGTGAACCGCCCGCCATTCAACCCGGACGTAGGACGTGATGGCGATAAGGGCAAAGACCGGGATGGAACAGATCGCAGCGGAACAGACAAAGGCACGGGCAAAGGGTCAGACAACGACAAAGACGAAGACTACCGTGAGGGTCGGGAGGAAGACACCAACGAGGTGGACGTGGTGCTGAAGGTGGACGACAGCGAGGAGCGGACCATGAGCATCCTGATGGTAACCATCCCACTGGTCCTGGTGCTGTGCATCCTGGGACTGATCTACGCCATCATCAACACACTGCAGAGCAAAGGGGCGCCGCGGCTGCTGGTGCACTGCAAGCGCTCCCTTCAGGACTGGGTCTGAGCCTTGACATCAGGGGACACTGAACTATGAACTTAAATTGGACCTTAGACACCGCCACCCTCCTCTAATCCAACCCTCTACCAAGTGATTCATCTGCCTCATGTCTCTTTGCTCAGTGGCTCCTGCAGTTCTTAGTACATGTGATAGTAGATCCAATACTGTACTGATCCACACACACACAAGCAAGCATAGGTTAGGTCCTACATAACCACACCCCCCCCACACACCACTCTAACTTCCTCCTGTCTCCCATGGTGCTCTACAATGCGTTGACTGTAGTCTATTTATATGAGAGAAGTTTGCACATTGTTTTTTTCTTTCTTGTTTTAGTTTTGGTTCATTTTGTGTGACTTTTTGTCATTGTTGTTATTATTTCTAAACCAGGAAGGCTGTTCCATTCTTTCTCTCGTCTCTACACACCCCTCCTCCTTCCCCCGATCTCGGTAGGGGCTTTTTCCTCGCCGATAAATTGACATCTGCTCACGCTGTTGCAGTTGCAGCAAAAGAAAAAATGCAAGGGGCTAGAAAAGATGGAGCGATTTGTGGACTGACAGGTAGGGAGGGCTCAGTAGTGTTCCTTCCTCATCGCATCATCATCTTCTTCATCTCTCCCCCTTTTCTCTGACGCACAGCATGTCATGGGGTTGAAGGTGAGTTAGAAACAAACTGAACAGATATTCCACTGTAGTTTACATTAAGAGGGATTTTCAGGCCTGCCTTGAGTCCAGATATCATCCTCCCTTTGTAAGAGTTCTAAGATCAGATCAGAGTTGGGCTGCAACTAACGTTGATTTTCTCAATCAATCGGTTAGAAAATGGAGAAAATGGATGGAGATCATTGTTTCCCAAATCCCAAGAAGACGTCCCTAAATGTCTTGTTTTTTCTAGAAACCGAAGATATTCTGTTTAATGTCAGAAAGGAGTAAAGACACCAGAATCAAAGAACTGACTTTTTTTTTACTCAAACTGACTAGTAACAACTAATTGATTAAACTTTGCAGCTATAGATCAGAATTCAGTTTGTTATATACAGAATACAGGTTTGGTTTTAAAGGACAATTCCAGTTTATAACAACTTAGATCTTATTTTTATGGTAATTTTACTAGTAAAAGTAACACTGTTCTCATCAGGTTAATTGTTGAGGTCTGGGTTTGTGGTGACATTGCCAAAAGATGTTGTACGGAAGCGGAGGAATCAGCTCGCCTGGCTCTACCACCTCTGTAATTTATTAATTAACATGTGATACCTTGTTTGTTTAAGTCAAAATTAGTAAAACCTTAAGGCTCTAATAGGCAGGTTTTTTTTGCCAGGGTAGCTGTTTCCCCCTGCTTCCAGTCTTTTAGCAAACCAGCTGCTCGCTCTAGCTTCCTATTACATTTATAGCAATAACTCTGATGAGTACAATGTTATCATAACAGATAGAAATGGTGGCTTGGAAATAAGACCTAAATTGTAATAAATAGTAATTATCCTTTAACATTCACGTTCCTACTGCCCTCTTTTCCTTCTTTATCTTGTGCTCACACGGTTGGACAATAGACCTACCTTCTTTCTTTTCCTCATTGGGAAGCTCTTCAAAGACTTAAACAGACTTTAAATTCCTCTTCTCTTAACTTTCATTTATGTGGTCTCACAGAGCCCCCTTTCTGTTTTCTTTGTGTTAAAGAGGAGACAGACTAATGGTTCATTTAAAAAGTCAGCTTACTGTGAAATAACACAAGAGAGGGTGCATTCATTGCATCTGTGTGTGTGTGTGTTTGTGAGACGGAAAAAAGGAAAAACAAAGCAAAGCCGCTCCCGATCAGGATGCAACGCCACAAATACAACACAGCAGTCGCAGGGTGCAACTAACGTACCATGCAGTATATAATGGACTTTTTATTGGTAGTGTTTTTTGAAAGGACAATTTATGGAACTTCATCGATGACCTGTGGTCTATCTGTTGTAAATATAGCGTAGCTGTAAGCACCAGGGTGGGCTCAGGCAGTGCAGGCTCATGTGAACACAGACTAATCCTCTTCATTAAAAAACAGCAGGTGTGCGCGGACGCTGTTAACCCCCCTAACCCTTAAACCAAACCTTGAACTCCCAGAACCAAAACACTCTCCACTCCCTTTTCATCTCTCAAGATCAGAGATGGGACGAGGGGGAGTGTGGGCACAGAAAAATGTCTATCTCAACTATGCATTATATCACTAACAACAGGACCAACAGTGTTTTTGAACCTTCTAGCTATTTTACTACAAATCATTGCCATCCAGTTTTACATTTAGTAATTGATTAAACTTTGCAGCTATAGATCAGTATTTATTTTTCCTTCTCTTCCTGGCAGCCATTGGTTTCCATTTATTTTTACATTAAATGCCCGCGTAGAATATTTAAATGAAAAAATGGTGTAACCTGAATTATACAACTCAAACAAACCGCATGGTTTGCAAAATGGTCGGTGTAAAATTGTTGTTAAATGGTTGTGCAAAATCAGTGGTGCTGTCCATTAAATCATATTTTTCCTTAGAAGAAAATCAGTATTGATCCTAGATGAGATCATTTGTTTTGATCCATTAGTGAATACAATTTTAAGAATTTATTGGGTCCGTTGATATCACTCATGTACTTGTGGAATGAGCAGCCCTATTTGAAGTGCTTCAAAAAGTGTAGCAGCAAGGGAAAACGTGAAATGATCGCTAGTTTTAAAAACAATTAAAATAAGACTTTGAGTACAACATGGTTCATTTGAGAGGAAGAGTGTATAGGAGTGGGCGCCTCCAGAGTGGGACTTCAAATATGAATAGGGGGAAGGCTTATCTGAGGCAGCATTAAGAAGTAAGCTACCAATCTGACCAGAGGGGCTCAGCTCACCCAGCTCAGGTTACACAGATGTGGATGGGGGGGTGAGGTCACACTGAATTTTCAGAGGCTGAGACAAGGGAAGGGGGAGGGAGGCTGACTTCGTATCCCTGAGCATGCAAAGTTTGGATCTCACGAGTAAGGAGGGGTGGGGAGGGAGAGAGAGAGAGAGAGAGAGGACTTTGATGGCTCTATCCCACAGGCAACAGCTCCTGTGACCCAAATTCTTCTGCTAGCTCAACAGTGCTAGCCAAAGAGGAAACTTTGGCTTACAATAGGTGGCAGACCTTTTTGACCGGCGGTGCAGTTACAGCGGCACTGCTGTTTTGATAGGACTCCAGCTAGGTGCAGACAGGTTGAGGTGAGACACCTACGCAGACAGAGGTAATGTTAACAGGACATACTGAAAGGAGGAAAAGGAAGAGCATAATCAGCCGTCACCAGAAGTCTAGAGATCGATCTGCGGCCAGTCGATAGCGGTTGCCAGGAAACGGTGTCCTGTGTCCATCGCTCACCTCCTCATCATCAGGAGGAAGGGGGGGGGACTAATCAGCGTTAAAAGCACCCCCACCCCTCCTCTCCTCTCTTCTCTTCTGTCTTGCTCTTCCATTGGTCCTACAGGCACATCAATGACAGCCTAGTGTCTGGTCAGGCTCAGAAAATGCAGACTCACTGCACTAGACACAACGCTGGAGTACTTTTTTCTTTTAATCAAACCTCCTTTTCTCCTCTGTCACATGCACGCAGAGAGCCCACAGGGAGTTCACCACTTAACAGCTAATCTAACCACTTGAAGGTTGAAACAGTCGAGTGCGCCTTGAAATCACCGTTTCCAAGATTCGGCGGGTTGAGAGATTCTGCGCGAGGTGACACTGGTTGTCTCACCGAGCAGAAGAGAAGTAGTGAAAGGTTAGGAAAGAAATCTGCCAGTGTTGATTGATGCATGCTTCTGTATGTGCCGAGGTGTTCAGTTAATCAGCTCTACTCTCCATAAGCGAGGCCTGTGTTCTGACTATAAATCTCCCACTCTCTCTATCCCCACCCCTCTGCACACTCAGCCCAGCCCTCGAGGCCCGAGGGGATAATAACAACAACAATGGCCTTCTCTCACTCTCTTTCTCTTCCCCCTATTTTCTCTCTCCATAATACACACACACAAGCACATTATTGTCTTCCCCAACCTCACCTTCCTCCCCTCCTTCCTGCTCTCTCCTTCCCCATAAGGAAGCTAGCCCAGGCCAAGGTCCAGCCTCACACAGCAGAGCCTGTTTTTAGATCCGCCTCCTTGTTCAGCAGCATTTAACACTGGAGAAGGATTCGCTTAAAAGCAGTGTAGCTGTCAGGTTTTGAGCTTGGCGAATGCAGACTTGGCAACAGGATGTCAAATTCAGATTTGAAGGTAAAAAAGGCTGACGTACTTTTATGTTAATGCCTTGTTCGTTTTGAAGTACAAGGCCTTGATGCAGAGTTTAGGTGAGGTTAGGACATCGCTGAGCTTGTCTGAGCTTTCTTCTCTCAGGATGTGTTTCTGTAAACACTGCATGTTAAGCGTTCCACATTCAGCCCTACTATTTAGGCTCTGAGCGTAGTCTTTAAACCTTTCTCCTTTTTTTAATCTTTTATTTTATTGAACATCTCTGTTAAAATCTCCACAATCATTAAGAAGGCAAGTATTCTAGCTGTGTCTGCTCTCCACTCACTGTATGACCGCACTTTCTAATAACCACAAGCTTTAAAAAAGTCATAGCATCAGCCTCACGCTAAAGACAGAATTCTTCCTGGAAAAACCAGATAAATATTTAACGGACTGAAAAGATCAAAGAAAAAAATATATGTCTGACGTGACATACAGTAAGACTGTGATCTACACTCGGGTCAACTTTGTGGCCTATGATGGCTGGAACTCAAGGGATTGTGGGTCGTAGGGATGCTTTTCTCCTTTGCCCAGAGTGCATCTCACCTTGCTCATTGTGCCCATCCACTCTGAAACCACTCATTTTAAATCACCACTAACTCAGCTACTCACCGCGAGGATGAAAGGGGAAAAGATGGCAGACAAAATGACTTTCAGCATCGGTGTCACTGCTTCGCCCCGGGGGGAGTGCAGCGGATCAGCTCTCATTGTGCTTCAGACGGGCTCTGAAACTGTTGAGCAGCCCACTTGACAAAACCTTTTATCCACTAACTGCAGCTAAAGTAGAGAGTTGATTTTGTTGCAATCAGTCAATTCTGTACTGACCATCAACAGTGGAACTTGACATCTCACACTATGCCCTCTTGAAAGTCACTCTTCATCACAGTTCAGTGACTTTCTGAAAAATACTTGGCCATAATCCCTGACTGGGACGAGATGGGGGGAAATATACAAAAAAAGAAAGCAGCAGTCAATCAAAATAGATGAGGTTATTGTTTGTCTTTGATAATTTGTCTTATTTTGATTTTATTTTGTGCATTTTTGTTCTCTCCAAACTTGATATGACATTTTTTGTTAACAACATTCCAAGTAGTGTTTTCTGATTGGTTGTTAGTGTTTTGTTTTTCTGTAGAAAATGTAAGATTTTATACATTTGTGTTGTGTGTTCACCTCTAGTTGAGTGTGTTAACAAGCCATGCTGGACATGTACACATTAAAAATTGCGCAGATAATATTGAATATTGTGTCTTTAAAGCTTTTTATACAGTGACTTGTGCGGTATATTGCTTCCTGAACTATCTGAAGAGAGGAGAGAATTACAATTCTGCACACACACGTACACATACTTACAGTACACACACCCTCTACTCTCTTCCTGCGGTGAGGTCACTGTCCATAGGGCCTTGCTTCCTGTCTCACACGGGACAGCCAGCGGAGCGGCTTTATGGGCCATGGGAGGTGGGGAGAGAGGGGTCTGGCTGATTGCCAGGAAGCCACATGAGCAGGGAGGAAGTTAGCAAGTAGCTTGTCGGCCCTATAAGAAACCGACCCGGCGATGTGTCATCACGCTGAGGCAAAATCCATTGTTCACAACACCACAAGGCTTTTTTGTGATGGATTTTATCCAAACACCAACATAGAGACTGATGGCAAACTTTAATGAGATGTTTTTGTGACTTGGAGTAAGTTATTTCTAAAACCGAATATGAAGTGACACCTACTCACATCCCGTCGCAGGCGTAATTGGCCAAAATTCACACCAAATTATAGTTATTTTGTCTTCATCTGAGTCCTTGTGATCAATTAATGGACGAGCCTAGCTGAGGGCTACAAGCTTTCAATAGAAGGACAGTGTCTGTCTATCTGTCTGTCTGACCCATTGGTCGAAAGTGAAATATCACACCAACATTAGATGCATTGTTGAAATTTAGTACATATAACATATTGTCAACAGATTTGTTCTTACTGAAGATCTACACATTAAAAACACAGGTCACAAATAATTTCATTTATAAAAAGGCTAAGGAATTGCTTTTAGCAAACAGCAACTGGACTTGTATGCACTGTTGAGTATTTATTGCAGCAGCAAGGTGTCTCAATTATTAAAAATAAGCAGTCCATGTTCAGGGTAATGAAGGAACATGTCGCCGAGTCTAGCACTGTGGCTCAGTTATGTGTTTTTTAATAGTTTTTGCTATCCACCTGACCGACGTATGGTTAATGTTCACTTTTTGATCTGTTCCACTTGTGTCCCGAGGTAAAGCTACTAAATCCTCCACCATGTTCATCCAGCTAGTTCCTAACTGTTGTGCTGGTCAGGCACTGTACAGCAGTAATCAGCTGCCCACATGGAAACAACTCTTGTAAGAGAAGTGAGAGTTAACCAAAACAGTAAAGTTGCGGGTCCTAAAGGCATAACATGCTGAATGATGGTAAAACGCTCTCAAGAGGTGGCTGGAACTGCAGAGTTGGGTGATATTATCTGTGGGTTTGTTACTAGACTACGAGACAATCTGTTCACATTATGCATAGTCATTTCAACCACTGTTCATATGAAATATTGATTGGAACAGCTTTAATGGACATTAACTGTCCTCCAGCGTTGCTACAGAGCAATGGAGACTGTTTATTCGAAAGAATAGAAAGAAAGAATAATTTTAAAACTATCATCATCTAGAGCGTCTGTGCTCTGGTGGTCCTGTGTCAGATTATTGACTTGCTTGAGAAAAGAAGTGTTATAATACTGGAGGATGCAGTGTACAAACTTTCCACCCTACATTTAGATTCACTGTCAACCCTTACAAGTTAACTTTTAACTTAACTTTAAAGTCAGACCTACCTCTGTATACTTTGTAAACAAACAACTTTAATGGTGTACATCGTGCGTGCACACAGGATTTTAAGTATGTGTGGGTCTGGCCAGGATCATTGCTTGTTAAATCTATCTGCAACAGTTATCGCCACATACACCCCGCAGAGTACCATAATTACTTGCAGTCATCTCTTTTCTCTAGGAAATTAACACACTTTTAGCCCAACAACACACAGAGGAAGTCCGAGGTAATCACTAGCAGCTACAGCTTGTGAAGTTGAACCACCTGTTGAAAATACTTTTACAGTAACACACCTGTTGTGCATCCTGAGTGCTGTATACTAACATGCAGGGATTTAGATGTAGATGACTGGGGTTTAGTATAGATTTAAAATTTGTTATCTTTCTACCAAAGAAATTGTCCCTAGGTAAACAACTAGATCTGTGGATTATCCAGAGAAGACAGATGATTAAATACCTGCATAACAAATGACAATTCCCATAAGCCACAGCTGTATTTTGTGCTTAGTGTGCTTAGCAAATGTTATCATGCTAACATGCTAAACTAAGATGAATATGGTAAACATTATACCTGCTAAATCTCCTCAGAGCCAGATGAAACTTCAACTTCATTTTTGGTTATTGGAATGAAGTGACTTTAACTTTCTGAAAAATCAGTGTTGAAAGGTACAAAGCCAACATTTTATTACATACAGCATGCAATGTAAAACAGTTTGGAGTAACATAACTTATATGGACTAGCTGATTAGATTAGATGAAACTTTAATGAGTGCTGGAGGTTGTCTGAGGCAGCAGATAATGGGAAACGGCAAAGAAATATAAGAATAGAACAGATGAGTCAATTTATTCAGTAAAACCATTTAAGCAAAGTACAACATCTAACCAGCAAAACAAATTTAGACAGTTACACAATGTAACCATACCAAGTCAAAGAATTAAAAATATGACAAATATGGGATGGAACATGACAAAGTCTGTAATCTGAAACTAAATGAAGGCAACAGACATGTATTGAATGCAATGCAAATAAAAAGAAAGAAAACAAAAAACGGTGGTATCCCCATTTCCATAGGCTGAGGGTCCATGGTATTATAAATTCCTCACCATGAAAACACATTTCATTTTCCCTTTCTCTTCTGTGTCACATACCCCCCTTCCCTCCTTCACTTGTATTGTTTCACAGTGAGGTAATGTTGAGGTAACATCTGGAGCTGTAATAGAGCTCGGTCCAGTGTGTTTTGGTGGTAGCTTTGGCACCGCCAGTGTTTTGGCCAGTGCCACAATGCTCCTGATGCTTGTAAAATGCTGGTGCGGACCGATGTGTTTGTCATAGCTACAGTCACAGTAATACTTGTTATCCCCAGCTAGTAACAATGAAGGATGGTTCAAACAGCAAGTAATTTATTATGGATGACTCAAAATTAACAAAGCATGATGTGTGAAGTCAGCAATCAGTGCTGAAGTGTGGGTGTTGCCTTGCAGGAGGAGATGAACAGCCGTTCCAGAAGCAAAGCGGCTTATATAGACTCCAAAGCAGGTGAGGCCGATCTGTGAATGAGGTGGAAGGGGCCAAACATTCAGGGAGGACGTGCAAGAGAGAAGCAGAGGCAAGCCAAAACAACAGGTAGGGTCTTTCCGAAAGTACTGGCTACTCGTGGTCGGTTATAAAACCCTCCAATGCTAAGTAAGCATTAATGCAGGCTTGTTGTCTCCTTTGCTGATAAGCACTAACTAACAAATCAAAGACCACCTGTCAACCAGACTTTGTTTCCAACGGCAATCAAGAACTTGACAACTAAAATCAACAATGATAGCAACTAGGTGTTTATTAGATCAAATTAAACACACACTATGTCGCCAAAAGGTTTGATTCGCCTGCCTTTACATGCACATGAAGGTTAATGACATCCTATTCTAAATCCGTAGTTGCCCCACCCTCTGCAGCTATAACAGCTTCAACTCTTCTGGAAGGCAGTCCACAAGGTTTAAGAGTGTGGTCATGGGGATTTTTGACCATTCTTCAAGAAGCGCATGAGTTCCGGCACAGATGTTGGACGAGAAGGCCTGGCTCGCAGTCTCCACTGTAATTCACCCCAAAGGTGTTCTATCGGGTTGAAGTCAGGACTCTGTGCATGTCAGTCAAGTTCTCCACACCAAACTTGCTCATCCCTGTCTTTATGAACAGGTGTTTGAGGTAGGTGGAGTTGGTATACAGTATATACAATATACAAAATGGCAATATGAACAGCTCCGAAATAGAGGATGAATAAAAAATATTTGGTAACCAGTAAACAGGTGCTGATTAGAGACAGAGTTAATGGGTTATTGCACAGGAATTGTTGTGCAGAGGACAGACTGGATGATGGCTGTGTAGAACTGGATCAGTAGCTTAGGCAGGTTGAGCTTCCTGAGCTGGCGCAGGAAGTACATCCTCAGACGAAGCTGCCTGAGTTTCGTTGTTTATTAGCTTGGTTTATTAGCACTTCTGAGTACTTGTGTCTCAAAGAGATTTTTGTACACAAACTGCTGTCCAACTGCTGTCTGTGGAGATGTTGCTACAGTGTTTTGTAAAAGTAAATACCGCACAATGCGGGTTTTTTTATCCACCGGCATAACAATAGCTAACCTGGGTATTTGTAAACAATGGCTAGCCGAGCAAGGTTGTCCGTCTTGTAACTGAAATGTCGTCAACTCGGGTGTGACATCATCCATCCTCCAACTTCCAAGGTAAATGGAACGCACCATTGGTATGCTGAAGCATTAACAGCTCCTTTCACTGGAACTAAGGGGCCAAGCCCAACCCCTGAAAACCCACTCCATAGTCCCCCCTCCACTAAACATCCATGGGATTGCCAGACATAGCATCACAAGTGTGAACTGTCACACACGTCTCCACTGCTCCAGTGTCCAGTGGCGGCGTGCTTTACACCACTGCATTGAACTTGGTGATGTAAGGCTTAGATGCAGCTGCTTGGCCATTCCATTCCAAACCCATTCCATGAAGCTCTCTATGCACTTTTCTTGAGCTAATCCGAAGGCCACACGACATTTGGAGGTCTGTAGCTATTGACTCTGCAGTAAGTTGGTGACTTCTGTGCACTGCTCTCCTCAGCATGCGCTGACCCAGCTCTGTGATTTTATGTAGCCTACCACTTCATTGCTCAGTTTCTGTTGTTCCCATTTGCTTACACTTTATTATAATACCACTAAGAGTTGACAGTGGAATATCTAGTAGTGACAGAGAGTCCAGAGAGCGACCCATACTTTCACAAATGTTTGTAGAAGCAGTCTAGGTGCTAGATTTTCTACAACTGTGGCCATGGAAGTGATTGGAACACCTGAATTCAATGATTCGGAGGGCTGTCCTAAAACCTTTGGCAATATAGTGTATTCCTGGATATACATT